TGGAAATATGTGCTGATGTTTTGGTGGGAGATGAAATGAGAAGGGGCATATCTGGTGGACAGAAGAAGCGTTTAACTACTGGTATGTGGACATGGAATGTCACTCAAAGAGTGTCTTGATACATGCATGTATCTTTACAGATGAGTAATGAGCATTTTAAGACTTTATTATGTTTAGTTCTTTACAAATCCTTCACAGATATATGTGCTCTCTTGCAAGTCATTGGATAACAAATTGGTTCTACTATAATTTAAGAAGCATGGACACGTCAAAATTGTAGCCGTGTCGTGTTGTACCTGTGTCAAACATGCACTTATGTTGGATATTATATGGATACTTTGAATACACCTAACTATATTTTATAATTTTTTACTTCTATTCCTTTAAACTTATATACTAATACATGAAGGAACATCACAATGATTAGATGAATTGCAGCATTTTATTATGTTTACAATGACTCATTCATTTTTAAACCCCCAAATTTTTCTTGACTTAAGATTTGCATCTTATGCTAGTTTTATATTAATTTTAGTCTTGACTTTTCCTGATTTCGAAAATATGTCATATCTTCGTGTCTATGTTGTACTGTATTTGTGTCCCATGTCATATTTGCACTTCTAGACTAAATTTTTTTGAATGGTCAAGATGATTATACCGTGGAGTTTGAAAGGAAAAGTGTCCGTGTAGTATCAGTTATCCTTATAGAATCATCCATTTTCTCAGCTCTCATTAACAGAAACTTACATAAATTGAATGCAGGTGAGATGTTGGTGGGACCAGCAAAAGCCCTCTTTATGGATGAGATTTCAACTGGTTTGGATAGTTCCACAACCTTCCAAATTGTCAGGTTTATGAGGCAGATGGTCCATATAATGGATGTTACTATGATAATCTCTCTTCTGCAACCTGCACCAGAAACATATAACCTTTTTGATGACATAATATTACTTTCAGAAGGTAAGATTATATACCAAGGTCCCCGTGAGAGCATTCTGCACTTCTTTGAAAGTGTGGGCTTCAAATGCCCAGAAAGGAAAGGAGTTGCAGACTTTTTACAGGAGGTAACTTCCAGAAAGGACCAAGAACAGTACTGGTTCAGAAGGGACATACCTTACCGGTATGTCAGCGTGCCTGAGTTTGTAGTACATTTCAACAATTACAGCATTGGTCAGCAATTTTATGAAGAGATTAAAGTTCCATTTGATCCTAATGAAACTCATCGCGCTGCATTAGTGAAGGAAAAGTATGGAATCTCCAAATGGGAACTTTTCAAGGCATGCTTTTCAAGAGAGTGGCTCTTGATGAAGCGCAACTATTTTGTATATATATTCAAGACCTCTCAGATTATGATAATGGCTATGATCACCATGACAGTATTTTTTAGAACAGAAATGAAGCATGGTCAACTTCAAGATGCAGGAAAATTCTATGGTGCACTATTTTTCAGTCTCATCAATGTAATGTTCAATGGAGTGGCAGAGCTTTCAATTACCCTTAATAGACTGCCTGTTTTCTTCAAGCAAAGAGATTTCCTGTTTTATCCAGCATGGGCTTTTGCATTGCCCATCTGGGTCCTCAGAGTTCCTCTTTCTCTATTGGAGTCAGGATTATGGATCATCCTCACTTATTATACTATTGGCTTTGCTCCTGCAGCTAGTAGGTATGAGAATGCAATCTGTAGATAATGAGTTTCTCAATAACGTAGAAATGAAATAATTGGTATACTCTTAGATCATTCTTTACTTCTTAGTTTTATTGACTTGCATATTTGTTAAATGATGTATATAAAAACCTTTTATAGGTTTTTTCGTCAATTATTGGCATTCTTCTGTGTGAATCAAATGGCTCTATCGCTATTCCGCTTTATTGCTGCAATTGGAAGAACAAAAGTTGTGGCCAACACACTTGGTTCCTTCACACTTTTAATTGTTTTCGTCTTAAGTGGATTTACTGTTTCAAGAAGTAAGTGACTATTTCTCTTTATACCACCGGTACTATACTCTAAAGAAATACTTTAATATTAAATGAGATTTTCAATGTTTCTAGTGAAATTGTATAGTTTAACCCCTCTCTCCGTGTATAGATGACATTAAACCATGGATGATATGGTGCTATTATAGTTCGCCAATGATGTATGGTCAGAATGCCATAGCCATCAATGAGTTCCTAGACAAAAGATGGAGTGCTGTAAGATCTTATAGTGTTTCTTTAATCTTAAAACACTACATCATTATTAGTTTATTGCTGATTCTTCACTTTTCACAGCCTAATAACGACACAAGAATTACTGAGCCCACAGTTGGGAAGGCTTTTCTCAAGGCCAGAGGCATATTTACAGAAGACTATTGGTACTGGATATCTGTGGGTGCCCTTATAGGATTTTCTCTCCTGTTCAACATTTGTTTCATTCTGGCTCTAACTTTTTTGAATCGTAAGTTTCAATACTAATTTTTCTCTGTGTTACATGTACAAGACTTTGTTTCTTAATTTGTTCTAAGGTCTTTCCAACAACAAAAGCTTTTTCCGATAAGGTGGGGTTAAGCTACATGGATCAAATGACACCATAATATCTTATCATAAATGATGTCTATAGACAAATCATTTAAATCTATATACTTATTAACAGTTGAACCTATAATTTTTCTTGATCTCTCTCTCTCCACCTCCTAAAATGTTTGTAATAGAAGAAAAAAAATTAGAAGAGAATAGTATACGTGGAAGATTAGAAAAATACCTATTTTAAACATAACAAGAAGGAAAAGAGCCAAATAGAAAGCCACATCAAGAGAACAAAGCCACCAATCCTGATGCATGGCAAACACTGATCATTTGGAAAATGCATCTAATAAAACCTACCTCTGATAATGCTTCGAAAACAAATTGCAGCATTTGGAAACACCAAATCTATCATAGTGAAAGAGGAAGAGCAAAAGAAAAGCACATCTGCATCATCCTCAGTGGAAAAAATGCCAACAGCAATTACAAAGCAGAATTCATCTTCCACTGCTAAATGGTTTGAAGGTAATACTTGATTTTCTATGCAAATAAACAGTATAAGCAACTGTCCACAATGAGATCATCAACAAAACAACATTTATATTTTATGTAAAATACTTTATAGCCTCTAGTCAGAAGAAATGTCATTCCTATCCTAAATAAAGTTTCTATATATAGATTGTCTACCTGTTTCTCCAGGGTGCCACATCTTGAAATGGTTGTATGATCTATGGATTGTTGTGTTAGTATTAGTAATGTATATTTACTCAAAGCTCTCTTTGAAATAAACACAAAGATAATTGCAATTATTACAGGTATTGATATGGAAGTAAGAAACACAGCACATATCTCAATTACTACAGCTTCAGAGAATGCAAAATCCAAAAAGGGAATGGTGTTGCCCTTTCGACCTCTGTCCCTTGCTTTTGAAAATGTGAATTATTACATTGATATGCCACATGTAAATTCCAATTTCCTTCTCCTGTACCATTTTATTCTTATCCATAATTTCTTCCTTATAGATAAAATTTACATAATTTTTTTACCATTTTCTTCGACATGTATACTTTTCTGGGTGTGCCAAATATCATCCACAAAGAGATACATGAATTGTTAATGTTGTATTACTTAAATCTAATCTTACTCATTCATTATAATAGTATGGTCAAGATTAACTTCTCTTATGAAAACATTCTCACCTATTAAGCTCTGTGTGTGTTTTACATGATAACAGCTTTGTGTAAGAAAAAATTCTAACTTGGAACTGTAAATTTAAAATTATTTTGAAACTATATTATTATTAGGAAATGAAGAAACAAGGAATTGAAGAGGATAGGCTCCAACTACTAAGAGATATAAGTGGTGCTTTCAGGCCAGGGATTTTAACAGCATTAGTTGGTGTAAGTGGTGCTGGAAAAACCACCTTGATGGATGTGCTTGCAGGAAGAAAAACTAGTGGTTATGTTGAGGGAAGCATCAGCATATCTGGTTATCCAAAAAACCAAGCAACTTTTGCTCAAATTAGTGGTTATTGTGAACAAAATGATATCCATTCTCCAAACATTACAGTCTATGAATCGCTTCTGTTTTCTGCTTGGTTGCGTCTCAGTAAGGAGGTTACTAATGAAACACGAAAGGTATGCTTTTGTTCTAACCAATTCTCATTTTATACTTCATCTCACGGGCCCCTATGTCTGTCTATTTTGAAATAGGCCTAAATAAGTTATTGGAATCACAGGTTTTAATTTTACTATCTATAAAAATTTATTAATTTTTTGTTCCTAAAAATTACAGGTCACATGGTTATAGTCCTTGATGCATTTTTGTTAAATGTAAAGATTAAAACCCAATAAATATTTTATAGGGATTAAAACCAAAAATCATAACATTTCATTCAAGACCAATAACTTATTTAAACCTTTGAAATATGTATTGATAGTATCGACCTCCTTTGTCAGAAACTTGATGCCGTTCCATCTCACTAATTCACTTTCACTTTTTTCTTCAAGGACAAGCATGATGTAGGGTTCAAATACCAACAGTGTATATGCATGTGTTAGTCATCCAATATGAAAAAAAAAAAATGGGGCTGACATGCTAGGGATCCTATAGCTTCTTAAATTGAAACAAACTAGGTCTTGTTCCCAATTTCAGATGGCATAACTGTATATATGTTCAAGTTTCAGCATTAAATCTTTCAGGACTTCCATGAGTTTAGGGGGTTTCTGAATTAATACATGTAGAACATTTCTATAAACTAACCAGATATGAAATTATGAACAGCCTGGGGCAATTTGTAGAGTATAAACAGACTGGTAGAAGATTCAACTGTTCAGGTGCATATAGATGCTGTGTAGTATGACTCCCCCTTTATAGTTTAGTTTACTGGTTCTAGCAGTTAGCTATGATCAATCAATATATTATTTATCTCTTAAAATAAAAATAAAAATAAAAATGGTAGTTTATGTTTAATATAACTAAATACCAGCTGCAAGATATCTGAAAAATAGGTTAAATCTGTATATTATTTCATTGAGACATTATACAGATATATACAGCAGGCCTACTTATTTTAGAAAACATAAGAACTCCCTATTCTATTCTAGGATCCCTTGAATTTAAGGGCCCAACCAACGATGATGCAGTATGACCTTTTCTTTGTTAGTCATCACAACTTCTGATTTGAAGGAGTGAGAAATTCTGTTTTGGCTAGACAGACTTGGATCTTCAAGAAAGTAAAGGTGGTTCCATTCTCTAGCATGTCCAATCGTCCTTCCCAGATCCTTGTCCTGAAAAATACAATGATTGTTGTGGAAAATAACATTACATGACAGGTCCTTTGTGAGTTTTTGTATAGTAACTAGGTTGGTGGATAGTTTTGGGACATGGAGGACATTTTTCAAGATTAGTGAGGGGTTGATCTGGACATTTCCATGACCGGCTGCAGTTATAAGGTTCTGTTAGCTATGGCAATTTTTTTATTACTGGAATTTGGGAAATATGAGAAGAGTTTGGCTAATGGTGTCACGTGGTCGGTGGCTCTGGAGTATGGCAAGGAACATGCACTTGTAGGTTTCTCCAATTTGCTCAGAAAGGTTCTCAGCCTTTCTATCTCATCTTGGTTGAGGTGTGTAGTAGTTTCAGCATGAACAGCAGCTTCATATTTGCTTTCTTCACCTTTTGGAGGTTTCTCATGCAGTTTCCGCATTTGTTTCGAGTATGGCGAGGCTTATTACAATAGGTGCATCAAAGACCATCACCTTTCTTCTCTGTTTGTGTGGATCCTCCTTTCATTTGTTCAGCCATCATAGCAAATTTTTCCATTGTTAGACTATCTAATATGAGACTCCTCCTACTCTCTTCACTTCTCACAATCACCACCACCTCATTGAAGCACAATACCTTTTGCTTCCCCAAAATTTGAACCCTAACTTGGTCCAATTCAGGATTCAGCCTAATAAGGAAGTCATACACCCTATCTTGTTCAATGTATTCCTTGAGAATTGCTGCATCCTTAGAACACTTGGTTTTTGTGACCCTATAATGGTCATGGTCCAATTCCATCCACAAAGATTTAAGCTAATTTGCATATTCAGTAACAGTCTTATTTCCTTGCATGCTGTCAAGGTTTTTTTATCTTTACTTCATATACTTGGGCAGCATCTTTGGCCTTAGAGTAGGTTTTCTCTACAACATCCTAGATCTCTCTTGCCGAATTAAGGAATATACAGGTGTCACTGATTTCTAGAATCATTGAATTCCAGAGCCATGCCATAATCATTAAATCTTCCTCATCCCATTTAGCAAACTTGGGATCCTCCTTCTTTGGTGCAGCCTCCGTCAAATGTCCTGACTTTCCTTTTCCCTTCAGCATTATGAGAACAAGCTGGGCACACTTCAAATAATTTCTTCCATTGAGTCTCTACATAAGGTGAATATTCTACAGTTGGAGATTGGATATCCCCTTTTTCTGAGGTTGGATTCACGACTTCCTCTTCTCTTAACATTATGGAAGACGAATCGCAGGGTCAACAGAGGCTGAGTGATGAAGGATGACAAATATGGGCAATTAGGGCACATAAGAAATAGTAGCAGAGAAAAAGAAAGTTGTGATACACAAAGAACATGCGAATGGCAAGGAAAGTGTGTGTCTAAAGCATAGAGAACGCAATAGCAATGTAGGTTGTCATCTTAGGTTTAATGCAGCAGCAATGTAGGCTGCCATCATAGGTTTATTGCAGCAGCAATGTAGGCTGTTGTCTAAAGGTAAAGGTTGCGCAGACAGAACCGTCTAGGTTGGGAGCTCTAATACATTTAAAGAATAGGTTAAATCTGTATATTATTTCATTGAGACATTGTACATATATATACAACAAACCTATTTATTTTAGGAAACATAATAACTTCCTATGCTATTCTAAGATTCCTCGAATCAGGGAATCTTTCCTAATTATACATTCTACATATCTGTACAGAAAATAAAAAATAAAAATAAAAATCTCCTAAATTATTATTTCCTAAAATTACTTGATTTCCCACAAGATCTAAGACAATTTTACAAGTTTTACATGCATTAAGGTTATCTCATGATAATGTTTTAGCTAACATAAAGAGAATTTGAGGTATTCTTTGTCAGCACAACAGTCATAATTCAGTGCAATCTGTAGGTATGTAACTATGACTGCTACTATGGTTTTATTTTGTTCTAATTGATTAAAAATTAGTTTATCTTTCCATCAATGTAGTTGTTCTTTTAATAAAATAGAATTCAGTAAGAGAAAGGAAATACAAGGCAGGACCTCCTTTTATAAAAATAAAATATAAGAGAGAACAGAAAAAGAAAATTGGAGAAAAACTAAAAAAGCAAAACATCATTGAATGGTACACTTCCAAAGAATTATTGTAATTATTTTACAAATATAATTCTTACCTTACAGATGTTCATTGAGGAAATTTTAGAGCTGGTGGAGCTCCAACCAGTGAGGCATTTTATAGTAGGCCTTCCTGGAATAGATGGCTTATCGACAGAGCAGAGAAAGAGGCTTACCATTGCTGTGGAATTGGTTGCAAATCCTTCCATTATTTTTATGGATGAGCCAACAACTGGTCTTGATGCTAGAGCTGCAGCAGTTGTTATGCGTACTGTTAGAAATACAGTAGATACAGGGAGAACTGTTGTCTGCACAATTCATCAACCAAGTATCGATATATTTGAAAATTTTGATGAGGTAAATATAAATATCTAGATTTTACAAATGAAAACTATTATTTTAGGAGTAAAACCTCTGCATTGGCCCTTAAAATTTTAAGTGTTGGTCAATTTAGTCCTTACTGTGTGAATGACATTTTGCAAAAACCAAGGACTAAAGGAGAGTTTTATAAAATCAAGGAATGACTGATGCTTACAATCTTGGGGACATGTAGGAGTTTACATTTTGAAATGGTTTAGAAGGCACAATACTCATCGTTGAACTACTTCTTGACTTCAGCTTCTTTTGATGAAGAGAGGTGGACAAGTGATATATGGTGGTCCTCTTGGTCAAAATTCCCAGAAGCTTATTGAGTACTTCGAGGTAAACCTCTACCATGATAGTATACAAATTCTTAAATTAGTAGTGTCAGTAGTCTTACTGATTGTATATATAACCTTTCTCAGGCTATAACTGGAGTTCCTAAGATTAAAGATGGATATAATCCATCCACATGGATGCTGGAGATCACTTCTCCTGTTGCTGAATCTCATCTTAATATAGACTTTGCAGAAGTATACACCAAGTCAGACCTTTACCAGTAAGTTCCACTCCTAGAGATTACTGCTTCTTTTTGCCCATATTTGTGTCAAATTTCTCATGATGTTTTAACATTTCCATACTTTGATAACCCTTTTGCAGAAATAACCAGGAACTTATTAAGGAACTATTTACACCACTACCTGGAACAAAGGAACTTTACTTTCCTTCTAAGTACTCACAATCCTTTGGTACTCAATGTAAAGCTTGCTTCTGGAAACAGTACTGCTCCTATTGGAGGAATCCACAGTATAATGCCATCAGATTCTTTATCACAATAGTCATTGGTGTCCTTTTTGGACTTATTTATTGGGACAAAGGAAATAAGACGTAAGTCCAGAAGTTTGTTGACAGTATTACAGTTCACCGGTGCCTGTTATCTTCTACATTGTTTCTAAAATAAATGGTGATATGTTTCTATCCAAGAGACCTTGTTATTATGCATCACAAGATTGCCCAAGACATTATTAGACATAGGAGTAGGACTAAGCTGGAAAGCCAGCTTAGGTAAGGAACCTCTTTGTTTGGGAACCTGAATGGTGTTAGCACTCCACCCACAAGAGACTTCCTAGTGAGGCCAGCACCCAGATGCATTTGCCTTGAGAAATTTGTTTACTATTGACCCTCTTGCTGCTTTAGTATATCATTATAGCCAATTGGGTACTTTGCTCCATTCTATAAAACCCCAGAAAGGAAGTGTTCATGACCTTGCTGGGAGCATGAATCTCTCTCCCCTTATTTTCAATAGGAAAAGCCACAAGATGTGGTGTGCTAGGCCTTGAATATGGACTTTCTCTTAAGAGTTGAAGATGTCTTCTTCCCGTGCTAGCAAATTGTATATAAGAGAGCTTGACAAGCTCCCCTTTAACAATTCTCTGAATGATTTGCTTTCCTTTTGCACTTGTGTTGAGAATTTTTTCATGTTCTCTTGTTCCCTTATATCCTTCTTTCTTACTCTCTAGGCATACTCCCAGTGCTGTAGGACCTGCCAACTTGCTTGGGGTGGTATACTACCACTCTACACCAATTTCATTTAACCAAACTCATGGTGGTCTACACTTTACATACTTCCACCAACTTAGCAAATTCCCAACAAACAATAAAAAATCCTTAGCTGGAAAACACAGGAACAATGAGAATCCTACTTGATATTGGATGATATCTCCTACTGAGTTCTCTAATCCAGATAAGAAAGTAATAAAAAAAAAAGAGGAACAAAAACAACAGAATTGCAAAATAGAAATAGCTGTCTAAATCAACAGTGCCTTGGGCAGAAGTATTCTTAGAAAGATTCATCTTGGTACTCTTTGTAGCTGCAGGCAATCGATATCTTGCTTTCCTTATCTAATAAAGAATCAATGAAAAATTTAATTGTGTCCATGATAAAGTTATTTTAACACACATCATTTCTGCAGGCAGAAGGAACAAGACTTGTTGAACCTCCTTGGAGCCATGTATGCATCTGTTTTTTTCCTTGGAGCCTCCAACACTAGCTCTGTGCAACCTGTTGTTGCAATAGAAAGAACAGTTCTCTACCGTGAAAGAGCTGCAGGAATGTACTCAGAACTGCCTTATGCAATTGGTCAGGTAGCTAAGAGAGCATATATCAAAGTAACTAATAAAAGTCACATAATTCATTATAAAAGCACTGTGTTGCAGGTAGCTATTGAAGTAATCTATGTTGCAATCCAAAGTCTAGCATATTCCATTATCCTCTACTGGATGATTGGGTTTGAACCAAGTGTTGAAAATTTCTTGTGGTTCTACTACTTCATATTCATGTCCTTTATGTACTTCACACTGTATGGAATGATGACTGTAGCTCTGACACCAAATCATCAAATTGCTGCAATTGTTATGTCGTTCTTCATCAGTTTCTGGAATCTGTTCTCTGGTTTTGTTATCCAAAGAGCGGTATGTATGTGTATCACAGAAATGGTCAAATACATTTCTCTGCACCCTGGAATAGCACAAATGGATAGTACATAGTAGGCTGCATTATTGAATTCAAATAGAATGGTTCATAAAGTCACTGCACCTATTCATAATATTGAGCACGTACACAGCCAACAGCAAACATACTGTATACAGTTTCGACATAGGTTGACATCAATGGATCAACAATGATCCTTAGTGGCAAGAATCAGTCCATTGAAAATATTCAAAATTTCAATTGATCATTTAAATGTAGGGTAGGCATGTTAATTCATTGCCTTTTTTTGGTGAAATTAAAAGTTACATTTCACTTTTTGTGCAGCAAATTCCAATATGGTGGAGGTGGTATTATTGGGCATCCCCTGTGGCTTGGACTATCTATGGATTGGTGACATCCCAAGTGGGTTACAAAAATAGCCCAATAGAGGTTCCTGGCTTTAGATCAATGACAGTAAAAGATTACATTGAGAGGATGTTGGGCTTTGAACATAACTTCCTTGGTGTTGTTGCATTAACACAAATTACCTTTGGCCTCATCTTCCTTTTTGTATTTGCATATGGCATCAAGTTCCTAAACTTCCAGAAAAGATGATGAATCAATCACACAGGAATGCAGAATAAAAACTCTTGTGCAAAATCAAATAGGTAAAATTATCTATAGAACAAAGCTGCAGAACTTGCAAAGAAGGAAGGTTTAGGCTGAGATAATCGCATATATTTCTGGAATTACCTAACGATGATGTCTCCGGTGGTGACTGGTGATAGTGATCGGTGACGATGGTGGCTGTAGCAACGGTTATAGCTGTGGTTATATACAGTTTGAAAACAAGCTAGAAGCGTTGGATCAACCTTTACGAGCGTTGGTTCACATTTCGTTACGTATGTTACTTTAATCACTTTGATTTAAGACGAGACTACTTAAATTTCATTTGTTTTGCATAGGATGATACATAATCCAACGTACGACTTCTTTTAATCTTAAATCTCAAGTTTAATAATTTTGATACAGCTGAGACTTGCATTTTAACTTTATTTTAATCAAAGCTTATTTGAGTTTTTTAATTATTATTTGAGTTTTTTTTTTTTTAATGTTACAAGTTTTTTTTTCTATTTTAACTTTATTTTTTTTAGGTTTAGTCCTTTCTTTTTTTATTTATTTGTTTACATTTAAGCTTTGATATCGAATTAAGTATCAATCGGATCCAAAATTGACACAGTTAATGGCTTTTAGATTTAAGTAATTTATTTATCTAAAATGTTTTAGGTAATAAAAATTCATGATCTCTTATATTTTTTGTTGTTTTTATATCATTCAAATGAACACTCTGCAGCTTTAAAATCTATAATTTCGCTTATAGTTTTTATTAAAATGAAGCCCTAACAACTTTTGTTTCAACCATAGATATCTTGCTAAAATAACTTAATAAACTTGGTATAAATTATAAAATTAAAGTCTCCCGAGTCCATAATGCATTCGAATGATGAACACACAGCATAATAAACAGAAGAAAATGTTAAGAAACTCTCAAGTTTTATCAAAAGTTAAAGTTTAACTGATTTTACAGCAACAAAAATAGCGAAAAGCAAAAATATCTAGTCGAAATTTATGTAGGTCTTGTTTCTTCAATTTAGCATGAATTCATACTTAATAATGAATCTTCAAGAACTAAATTGATGGAAAAGAAATCTCAAACACTATCAAAAGCATTTTAAATTGTCAAGGACCTGATGATCATTAAATATTATAGAAAGTTGTATGAACAAAAATTTGCACCCAGAGTAAGGAGATACTGTAGGATAAGCAAGTGTAATAAAGTACAAAAATAAGTGCTACAAAATTGTTAAAATGACATAAACATAATTCAATCAAGATAATTGTAACCCCACCAAAAGCATTGAACACTAAGCTACCCCAGTTAGAGGGTTTAAACACGATTATACTCTCTCTCATCAGCTTTGATACTGTCATTAGAGCAGATGAGGTGACTAAAATATTAAAGATCTTCATTAATGAACCACAAGGAAATCATATAGGTAAACTTAATATTACATTCAATCTAAAACTTTAAGATATTAGGTTAGCTATTTTTTCATTTGTATATTGCTCAACTAATTTCCAATTTTTAATCAATGTAAAATTTCTTTACTCACGCTCACTGTCTCAACACATTCACCCGAGTTAGACTTAGATCCCAACCTTGGCCTGACCCAACCCCATGTTTTTGTTTTTCCACTTTTGAAAAAATATATAGTTTTAAATATTGTAATCAAAAGCATCCGAAATATTGTTACTCTTTTGGTGTTATGGATCTTATAGTTGACTACCCTATAAATATTTTCTAGCTCTGCTGTGGTAGGAACTACACAAAAAGTAAGAAGTGATCTTTCAGCAATACCCGGCAAATCTTTAGCACTAGTGGCAACCAGACTTTAGTTGAATCATCAAGGATCACCCATAGTTCAACATCTGAAGGCCTAGGCATTTATTTTCCAAGAATAAAATAGGTTTCCTAATAACTTTGACACTTGACTCAAAGCTCATTATTGTCTATAAATTCTTAGCATAGAAATTAGGATTACAATAATGCATATGTTGGGAAAATACTCCTTTTATTGCTTGACACCATACAAGGTATAAACACAACATAAGCAACATGAGACAAAAACATGGCTATTTAAATATACTCAAGAAATGATTAGCTAGTGCTTAACAGTCAACACAAGGGGTTAAATTCTATTAAGTCTCAATGGTGCATATTGCATATATTCTCTGGCACTCAACACGTTTTGTTTCTTTTAGCACCAAATGTTAAGCTCAATCAGAATCAGATGATGATGAATTAAAATGTTTGGGTTTGGGAGCTTCTTTCTCTTTCTTATTTCCCTTCTTCCCATGCAACTCTGCTATGTGGTGGCTTTGGTGATGCTCAGTGAAGAAATCTGAGATATCCAAGTGCACACCTGGATCATTGGCTTGGTAACTACCACCAAGCATTACTGAGTTGTTGATGGCTTGGAAATTGCTGTTAACATAGGTGCTCAATGTCTCAGGCTCATCACCATGAGAAGTTGTGTCTGATTTTTCATCCAATGCACTTTTCATAGTGGCACCATTGTTGTTTCCTGCAAGGGTGATCATGCTCAAACCATGTTCCTCATCATTCTCCAAATGGTGGGTTGGGCCTGATTTGTGAAAATCCTTGACACGGTGAGTAATGGCAGAGACCATGTTCCTAATATCTCTATCCAATTCCTTGTGTTTTTCTCCTTCAGCAGATGGGGAATGACTTGGCCGCACTGGTGAAGGCATGTTCATTAAGGTGAGTGAATGAAGATATTCACTTATGGTAATTGTGTGGTTTATATTTGGGTCTGATTTTGAGTTGAATATGAATGTGGTTGTGTTTATATAGGAGTTGTTGGTGCAAGGAATATAGTCAAATTCTTGTGGGGAATAAAGTAAATGGAATTACTTGAATGGCAATAAAAGGATATTTAATTTATTGATTCTAAACAGCAGAAAAAGCTGAAGAAGGATTGCTTGACATTGGGTTAGCCTATTATGCTTGCACAACACTTTGTGCTTTTGGTGCTATGATCACTGTGAAGGGAAAGAATTTTCAAGGGAGGAAGGTTGTTGTTGCAGTCTCAGATGGCTGAACCCATTGTCATTTAAAAAGACACAGACAAATGGGGCCATCTTTAGCATCCAAGTTTGACTTTTTGTTCATATTATCCTTTGGAATTTTCAACTAAATATATTCTCTTTCTAAAACAAGCACTTCCTACATGATTGGATTGATTTGTGATTGTCCTAGTTATTCTGATGGTCTAATTCAACTAATCCATTTGGTCAAGTTTTCTAAAATCTTTAAAACGTAGTTATAAAGTTTGTGTGTATATAAAACTTTGCCTTAGAAGGATATTTAAATAAATTAATAATGGTATGGTCTTATTATATTGTTTATATTAAGATAAGGGATATCTAGCTCAAGTTTTGGGCTCATAGACCAATTTACGACATAGTTAAGATAATTTACTTGTTTTTTTATTTATTTTGGTGGAACGTCATTATTTATATTAAAAGCTTACTCCAAAGCTCCTTCTATTATATGATCTAAACAATCGAAAATCTAGAATTAAACCTATTAGTCATGTACCAATTAATATATCGGTGTCTATAAGAAATTAAACAAATTAAAACTTAAATTACTTTAATTAGATAAGAATGTTTCCAACAAATCGATCATTAATTACTTCAAAAAAGAATAAAATTAATTTAAGCCATTCTTAATTGCAGCTAAGGCGTTATCTCTCACATCCATCGAGAATCTGATGCTTGTACTCGTTGCGTCAAGAGAAAATTTGGCATTGGTTTTGCATTCAAATTGCACTACATGTCAAGTCCACATGGTCCCGAACCATTCATTGGTTAGTAAAGTAAGGTGCATCTCATAACGGTCACTTAACACATCATTGTTACCCACCCCACCTTTGCAAGCTTCTGCCTTAAATCATTTTAGGTGACTTGACTTCTCTTCATTTTATTTACTTGTTTGTTATTTCCTTTGAAATAAAAATATATTAAAATTTAAAGAATGCTTATTATACACTCTTTTAACATTCTCTTCTCTTAATTACTAGTTAAAATTTATTAAAAATTACAAAAAGACGAAATAATCATTAAATTAGAAGTGAAAGAATGAAACACATTATTTTTATAATTTTTAATAAATTTTAAGTAATAACAAAGAGTGTGTTAAAAAAATACATTATTTAAAACCAAAGGTTCTGGACATTTGACAGTAATTTTTACCTTTTTCTTGTAGATCGTATGATATCACACAAATAATATAACCTAAAAAAGGCATTCGTAAAACGTGATTGTATTATTTTCCGTTGTGAAAATGTCAGTGAAATTCATGCTAAATGTGAAATGTGCATTGCTTTCAGAATCCACATAGAGACATAAGGGTAAACTTACTTGGATGTGTTTCCTAAAAGCTTCTGCAACAGGGAGTAAACTTGCTTTCATCAGCCTAACGAATACTTTTCAATTCTCCTTTCCTCCTCTCCCATCAAATAAGGCTGAAAATTAGCATGTAGTGAAAAAATTGGAGCAGTTATATTTTACATGGTACAACAGTAACATGGAAACCCTTGCCGAATTAGGACACCCAAGTTAATGACAATCATAAATGTATCAGGAAAAAGAAGCTAGCGCAACCCTCATTTCTGGTGGAAGACACAGGTGTTAGAGTAAATTTTTCCATCCTTAGTATGGCTTGCTGTAAAGCCCAAGCAAAGGTTTCTCCCTCTCCTGTACTCTTTTCCTTGCAGCCTCTCTTGCTTTGAGAGCTGCTTTTTCTTCATCGGATATAACCTTGGATTTTTCATCAGTTCTTTTCCTCTTTCCAACCGCAAGAGATGAAGGTGCGGCTTTCACATTTCTCATGGGATTCAGAGTTGTTGTAAAAACTGGTCCAGGTGAAGATTTGTTCGCTTTATTTTCATCTGATTTGGATTGTGAAGTTGACAAGGCCTTCTTCACAGCTGGTCCATTGTGCCCAGCAATAGATGTAAAGTGAGGGGAGGCATATGCTTCTTCCTGTGTCGCCCATTTTCCTGTTGAAATTTCTTTAGGTAAGTATGCCATCCAATATCAACATAATATAAATATATAATATATGTAAAATGACAATTTGAACCCTCATACCGATGGCATCTGAATAGTAAAATGCAGACTTGGGATCATAGTAAAATCCATTTGTTTTATGGTAGAAATAGCCTGAATTGCTGTCAAACTCCCATTCTACAAAACCATGCAGCAAAAATCAGTTTTGAGATGCAAATCAACACAGCAATTACATAATACACTGACAATGGCACTGAAATGTCTACTGTGAGTAGATCCAAGGAGTCAAAATTGATATCCTTACCTTTGTTTGAAAAAGTTAGAAAAACAGATAAATTGTGATCCTTACGTTATATTTAAACACATATATATGCCGAAAATAAGATAAGTAAGACAATAAAGCCACATGGTTTTTTAAAACACATTTGTACGTTGGGTTTGTGTCAAGAGTCAATGCCCGAAGCTACATGTATATTTTGTCAGATCATGCTCCTTTGCAGTTGAAAAAATAAATGCAGAGAGCCTGACCTTAACTTTATTTGTTTTATGTTAAAAAGTTAAAGTTATATATTTTTTTTTTTAAATTCAGCCCTTAGATATATTAAATACAGGAGGTGCAATTGAAAATAAAACTGCAAGTGATCCATTCCCATATTTTTTCCACACCGAACAGGAACAAAAATTTACCTTATGCTGCCTACACAAATAAGTCTGAATAACCAATAAAATGAATAGTTTCAGAAAAGAAATTTCAAATTCTTTTAAGCGTAAAAATTGAACATTGTAGTTATTAGACATATTGTGCTCTTTCAATGAACCTAGTATGAGAAGCCAGAATATCATCTAGATTTCAATATTTTCTTGTCTTTGTACATCCACGGTACGTACCAAAATGAAAGTGGGGACCAATTTTAAGCCTTCAGATTTGATATTCAAGTCCTTTAAAAAAATTCCAACATTTTAATGGAAGAAGGAAACTATCTAGACCACAAATTTTGTGATGACAATTTCCAATGCTCAATAAGTAGTTTCTCATTTCCTCTTACAAAGTAAACTCTTTAACTGCAGCTTGCTGGGCAAATACTTATAAAGTAAGACTTATCTGGCATAACCAATTATAAAGGCCAACTCCCACCACTTTGTACAAAAAAAAAGAAAACTGGAATTTTATGAGTACAATAACTACTGATTACCTTAGGAGAGAAATGTGGCCCAAGAACTTTTCTCTGTAATGCTTTGAAAGACCACATAATGTAAGTAATTTCAGGAAACATGCTATCCTAATTGAGTTGACTCATAAGGTCATTTTTCTCTGTAGAGGATACTAATTTATTCCTCTATACTACAGTACATGGTCTAAACAGAATTTGAACGTCAAAACATCTATCAGACAATGCAAATGCAAATTAATTACAAATTAGAACTCTATCAATAGAAATAAATAGAAGTTTATACTTACAACCTTGGGCATCCAATTCATTCGATTCTCTGGCTTCCTCAAACTTTGCTTTATCCTTTTGATAGCTACGCTGTGCTTTCTGCATTACAATACACAGAAATAGATAAAGCAAAATTTATATATATCTTATCTTTGTGTGTAAATGTGTGCGCAACTGCAATGTACAAAATAACTATTTACCAAAAGTTAAGCACTGGGTAAATTTCCTGCAACTTCCATTCATTCCCAATGAATGAATACAGTCAACATTTTGCTCGCTCCCTTGGGGAATCCAAGACATATAAGGCCAAGTCTTTTATTTGGATAAAAGCCAAGAGTACTGATGGAAAAATACATTTTGACACTCTCATTTGAATACTTTTGACCATTGATAGTGTTTGCTAGCATTCCTCTAAAACCAATAATATGAGCATTGAGTTATCAGGAAAGGTCTACTCATTTATTCTAACATTGTAAGGCAGTCATTGTTATCAAGAAGAATTTGTTTGAATTTGTAAGAACCACTTATGGTCTCTGACTTTGGAGCAGTTCATTTCAAAACTTTAATAGGCCGTGAGAAACCATGAATAATTTTCGAAGTACAAAGAATGCAGCATCAATATTAGTGACACAAAATAAGGATAAAACCCTTACTGCTTCAATTTGCTCAAGGGCACGAGCTGTTTCTTTCTGTTCTTTCTCCTTGGCAATATTCTCTTTTCTCATAGCAGCCAGCCTCTTGGCAACATTATCTTTATGACGTTGACCAAGCTCATGATTTCTGATGCTTGAAGGGTTGTTTGATATATAAATTTTGCAAAAGTCGCACCATTTGTTGCCCTGGCTGACCCAGTACTGAAAACCATAGAAAAAAGAGTAAATGAACAAAAGCCACCGACATCGAAGTGCATCCAAACAATTAGTCACAACCAATAAGTCTACATTCCATATACCAGAAAATTGTACAAATTGCTACATCTCAAAGACCCACCTTGGCTTCCTTCTCTAATGATGATATGAAAGCAAAGAGAAACCCAACTGTTCTTTTTAAATTTAGCAAATGTTTGGTATAGAAAATTATGAAGGGAATAAGTGCTTATTTTTCAAAACCTCTTTTGAAAGTAAAAAATAAGCTAAACTAACAATCACTTAGGCTTTGTTTGGGTGGGTGGAGGGAGAGGAGGGCAATTTTTTTATTTTTAAATTAAAAGAATTATAAATAATTTATGATAATAAATAAATGATGTATCCATTATGATTATGCTAATTTATCAAATATCAATTTATATCTTTAATTATCAAATTAAAATATAATGTTTTCCTTCCCCTCCCCTTCTCTCCAAAACCCCCTTCCCATATATTAGTGATCGCCTACCTTCTGATTCCGGATATATTATTAGAAAGCAAAACATTTTCACATTAATTTGGATTTTAAGCGTCAGAACTGATATACCATAATAGACCTACCTAACCTTGGACAAAAATTTCTTCGATTTTCTTCTTCTGGGGTTTCGATTATGAACGCCCAAGCAAAGAAAATATCATATAATTTGTGTACAGGAATACAAAATGTAAATATCATTGGAATAATTAGGGGAAGTATGTAATATAAAATTGAGGTTAACGAAGTGTTTACCTCAGTCATGGCAGCAAATTAGGGTTGGCAATAGGATGCTATGAAGACGCCGCAAGAATTCAAATTGAATTGAAGCTGAGAAGAGGGAAACAAGGTAGTTCGCGTTCGTTTTTGCTATCAAGTGCACCCAAAATTCTTCAAATTTCAAAACCCTCCTAAAAGCAAAGCAGAAGTTTTCCGAATCAAAACAATGTCAAAGACTTCATGAGAGACGTTGTTGGGAGCTTCTTGTGTATCTATGTTTTTTTTTTTTTTTTTCCGAATTTCCAAAGATCGAAACACCCCACACACAAGAGTAAAAGCCCATCAGCAGGCCCAGGAGGTAATAGTAATCCCATGATAGAACTACATTACAAATTGGCTTAGATAGATTTAAATAATAATTTAATTAAAAAAACGAGGTTGGAATAAAATTGGATGATTCAATTTTTATATTTTTATTTTAAATTTATTTTAAAATTAATAAATACATTATTATATAATAAAATAAGAGTAAAGATCAAATTCCTTTAAAAATAATTTTTTTTAGATTTATTTTAAAGTATTTTTGGAAAATAAAATATTGCTTGCATCTCCATGAATGCATAGAGTAATGCAAAGAGAGTGATTGTTGAAAAAGCAATCATGTATTTTGTAATTTGCATGTTAATTAATTAGAGAAGGTAAAATTAGATTAAAAAATTAATTTTGTTTTGATGTTCTAAAATAACAAATAAATTGAGACAAAATAAAAAAACTAAAGAAACAATGAAAGTGGGATAGAGAGTAATAAATTAGAAATATAATCAGCCCTTAGTTAATTATATATGTTTAGAATTCTTAAAATAATTTGTACAAATCAAAAATTAGAATTAAAAGCTGTAAAATAGAATTAATTACTCTAAAACAACTTTTTATTATTTACACATAGAAATACAATGAAAGAAGACATCAAGTCAAAGTTATTTGGTATGGTATCATGAACTCTCTACCTTTACTTGTGAAGCCTTTGTTTTTATTACACAATCCTTGCATTATTGGTTTAGCAACAATATCATCTGATACGTGTGACTCCTAATTCTTTATTTGCCTTTGGTTTAAGATTAACATTTGCTTACGTTTTGTCTATTTGTGTTTGCTCTGCTTTCATAGTCCCTATTTTTGGTTTCTTTATTTTTTGTCATTGTTTTCTCACTCGTCATTTTACTGGCAAAACTTATGTCACTTGAAAATTTCAGTTCAAGATATTTGATAAAGGAAAATATTTGTGAGGTTATGTAGATGAAACTTCATCCACTCTACATGCATTGGAAGCATGAAAGACAAAGGAATGTTAGATTATAACATATATTATAGCTTTTGTTCAACCGCAAATATATATATATATATATATATATATATATATATGGAATTACGTTAAGTGTGTGTAAAACTAAGATAATGTTTCCAAGTATTTTTAGTTGGAGCATAACAATGTTACTTATCGCTAGAGACATTTATTCATTTAGGACTATTAGTATGAGTTCCTAAATATGTAGACTGAACATTCATACATTTTACATATTAATGTTTTCTCAGGCTTGTTGTTCAAAAAGTCTATAAAGTTAGTAAGCAAGACTGATTTGTCATGAAGCTTCACCTTGAAGTTGAAGTTGTGTGTGCTGCTAAATTGCACTCCAATCCCTTCTTTAGATGTGCATCTTAGCATGGAGAACTACTTTGAGAATAGCAACATTTGTTGACCCAAAGGACTATGATAGGTGATACATTTGTTGTTTTTGTTGCTTACTTTAACCATAATAAAGGAAAATGATGCATAATTATATGTTCAATGCTTTTCATGTAGACAATTTGACTATGTTGCTTACAATTGTAGTAAGAAATTTTGCAATTATTATAAGCAACGTGGTTAAATCAAAAGAATTACCTAATTAGACCAAGGTGAAAACTAGTGTAATCCTTTCATGTTATTACCTCTTTAGCAAGTTAGATCTATGATCTAATAGGTTCGAGTACTAGTGCCTTGACCCCAGAGAGCATACAATAACTGGTACTATCTGCGCTTTCTGCCTTGGGCATTTAGGATAAGTCCAACATTGTCTCTCTAACTTAGTTTGTTGATTCTAGAGCCTTTAATCACATGACTAGTTCTTTAAACATTTGCATAATGTTCATACTTACAGTAGAACCTAAAACATTCAAATTGCTAATGGTAACACACTTTTTATTAGTGTTATTAGAGATATGAATTCCTTTTCTTGGCATGTGTTTATTTTTCCTGAGCTTGTTTCAAATCTAATTTCAGGGAGACAACTAGTATATCACAATTGTAATGTTAATGTTTATCATGCCAATTATTTTGTGCAAAATTAGGCATTTAGGAGTGATCTTGAGGGGGCCTAAAGTGGGTAGACTATTTCCTCTTCAATTTTCTCTACTAATATCTTTTGCTTGTGATGGTGTTCCAAATCTATATCAAGATTGGCATAGGAAATTAGGTTACCCCTATTTTATCATTTTGTCTCACTTTTGAAAAGTCAATTATTGAATAATACAATTGTCCTTTCTTAATTCCTTATTTGATTGTACTATTTGCAAACTTGCTAAAAACAAAACTCTTCCCTTTTCATCTATAGCTCACTTTGATGATAATTCTTTTGATCTCATTCACAATGACGTTTAAGTTATCTCACCAGTTTTCTCAAACAAAAGTATAAATGTTGTCACATATATTGATGACTATAGCCGATTTGTATGAATTTATTTTCTTTGCTCTAAATTTTAGAGTTTTTTTTTATAAGTTTAAGAAGTTTTAAGCCCACATCAAGAATTAATTTCACACATGTACCAAGACTTTGCACACTAATATTGGTGGAGAATATATTTTCATGAAGTTCAAGAATACTTAACACCAAAATGATATTATTTTCCAACAATCTTGTCCATATACACACCAACAAAATGGCATTACAGAGTGGAAGAATCGACACTTATTTAATGTCCCTTGAATGTTACTTCTACAGGCCTCTATTCCTTCTTAATTTTGGGTAGAGGCTTTGTCCACTACTGCATACTGAATCAATCATCTTCCATCTCAAGCTCTACGTTTTGATTCCCTTTTCTTTTGTCTCTATAAGATACAACCTACTTATCATGACCTTCACACTTTTGGTTGTGTATATTTCATCCACTTGTCACCTTTAGAGCATCATACACTAGGTGCTTAATTTATTCAATGTGCCTTCGTGAGTTATACTCTTACTCAAAAAGAATTTTTGTATTTTGATGCCACTATCCAATGCTTACACATTTTTAGAAATGTGATTTTCTTTGATCATCAATATTTTTTCCTTGTATTTCCTCTAGCACTATGGATCTTGTCTTACTCACTTCCTTTCCTAAAGTCTCCTCATCTTCTAAAACATTTTAAACTTTGTCATGTCTATGTTAGACAATAACTTGATCCTCCCCCTCTCAACCCTAAATCGTCACCTAGCCCACTAGTTATAGCACCACATTGATCCAATTGCATTCATCATCCACTGAAATAGTGTAAGTATGAATCCATTTCTCTTACTAGCACTTTATCTAACATATTTGTTTCCACAAGTTACTCATGGGCTATTAAAGATTCTCAATGGAGAAAAGGCAAGCAAGATGAGCACCTCAAGAAAATTATACATGAAATATTGTTCTCTACCCATATGATATTAAAACCTGTTGGCTACAAATGAGTACATTTTGTGAAGCTAAATTTAGATGGTTCCCTCAATTATGTTAAGTATCAATTAGTTGCTTTGAGTAACAAACCAAAATATAAACATTCACCTCAGTTGCTAAAATGACTATCGTTAGAACATTCCTCTTTATTGCAACTTTTAAAGGTTAGTTACTCCATCAAATGAATGTGAAAAATGTCTTACTTCATGGTGAATTAGCATAAGACATTTATATTACTCCTCCTCCAAGTTTGTTTTCTTCCTCTACACAAGAGTATACAAACTCAAACGCTCTTAATATGATTTACATCAAGCACCCTAAGTATGGTTTGAGAAATTTTGATTTGCTCTTCTTAAATTCTCCTTTACTCAAAGTCAATATGACTCTTCATTATTACGGGTATGGTTAAGTGTCCATACAACAACTAAAAATCAATTACAGGCTTCTTTTCATACCAAGGAACTTGGTAATCTTTATTATTTCTTAAAATAATTTTTACAACTCAAAAATTAGAATCATAAGCTATAAATTAAAATTAATTGCTATAAATCAACTTTATATTATTTATAAAAAAAATATAGTGATAAAAAAGTCTTCAAGCGAAAGTTATTTGTTGATATTAATACTATCCTCCCAATTTTGGCTTTTCTATATATTAATTAATTAAACTTGGTTCTACTGAAACTACTAAAATTAATCAATTTCTTTGTTAATCATTTATTTTTTGAGAGCATTTGTTAATTTGAATAAAAAAAAAAAAGAGGCTCTTCACATGTTTTGAATTGTTAGGATTCTCTTTTAAAAAAAGTGAGAATCTACTAAAACATGTCAGATTGGTCTTTAGGAACGACATCCATTTTGTTCTCTACAAATCATTGAACACATTATTGAGGGCGCTTTGCTAACTATATTGGATTCCAAATAACAAGTTTATATGCATAACCAGACTCTCCCTCTAATACTGCCCCTCTTTGCATTTCTCATCCCTTTCTAAACGTATACGTACAAAGGAGGGACAGTGAGTACATTCATTGATTATGCTAAACACTGCCAGATCATACATGCAGAGAATGCCTGAAAATTCAAATACTGGGTGGCTACAAAATATTGAATTTAATAGAGTTCATGCATGTTTGATTAAACTTTTTTTTTAATGAGAATTTTGAAAAATAAATTATTATTTCTTTACAAAATAGTCGAAACTCAAAACCAAACATGCATGCACATGTAGATATTTGATCGAATTTATTTTAGAAAAATAATTGCTTATTTTTCTCCTAAAAACTGTTGAACCAAACCAAACATGTGCTTAGTTCTATTGTTTTCTCCAAATTTTGCTGTGATACGTAGTGATCTCCAGATCATCCTCAGCTTTGGATGCATGAATGTCACTGACCCGACTAAGTACTCTTGAAACGGTATGGAAATCTTCCATGAAAAACTCAGATGCTTGCTTCTCCAATGGAGATGTGGTCCTCAATACAGACACAGCTCATCATATGTATGCTTGCTCGTCCGTTGGAGATGGGATCCTAAATATGGACCTGTGCAAGCAGCTCAAATGTAACATGGCATAAGCTGTAATTTAGAGAACTGGGAAAATAATCTATAATACATACTACCTAATTATTGTTGTAGCTCCTAACATAATCGTAAACAGGCACATGTTTCGATAATTGATTTTAGAAAAAAGTATTTTACAAAAGCTATGTCTTAGGGTGCTGATTTTTTCAAAATTAGTTGAACCAAACAAACACTATGACATTATTGGAGAACAGTAAAAACACGTGACGTGGATCTAAGGAATTTATCCCACTAACATACGAAACTTATGTGAAAAGAAAAAAGAAATTGATTAAGAATGAAAATTAAGGGGTTTTGTTATTCATTCCCCTGTTCGCGCGAAACAGCTTTCTCTAAGATTCCCACTTCTCCTTTTCTGATAATGCAGGGAACTGGCAAATATAGGCTGGTTGAAATATAATCATTGTCGTGGATGTCTTCTGAAGCCGTATCATACAGAAAAAATAATTGAACTATTTTCGAGATACTGAAATACATTTTAACTATTGTGGCAAATTGCCCCTCTGTTGTTGGCAGACAGCAAGATCTGAACCCCTATACTCATCCATCCCATAAGGTCCTCCTTTTGCTGATCTGAGAATCGAACGACGATCAAAAAGGGCTCAACGTGTCCCTAAATTTTGCATGCTGTCTGTGCCAAATTACTTCCAATATTGACACATTTCATATTTCTTAAATTAGTGTACAAAATTATTTAAAAACATTTTTTCTTTAGAAAAATAATTTTTTTTTTTGACATATGTGCTGTGCAGAACTCGTTAAAAAGATAAATTGTGTGCGAAATTTTTTAGAAAAATATCAGCAATTGTTTGAAAATATTATTTTTTATTTATAAAAGATATTAAAAAATAAAAAAGCCAATTGTATACCCTTATAAAAAAAACAAGAAAGTGCAAATTAGCATCTTGAAGTTTGAATCATGTGAACTTAGTCTTGAAACTTTAAAACTATGAATTTTAACCCTTACGATTTTCAATATTTGCAAAATACGATGCAGTGGAAAGCATTTCCTTCATTTTAATCACAACAATTATAAAAATTGTAATGTATTGCAGATAAAAAGCGTTTGAATCAGATACAAGATAGTAAGTGCAACCGTTAGAACTATCAATTATTATTATTACTATTATATGTTTCGAAGTCTGGAAAATGTTGTTCACAGATATCACCTATTCATTTCATAAAAAATAACAAAATAAAAAAAAAAGATATCACCTATTCACACTTGGTGGCAACTGAAAGCTAACGTAACTCACTAGTACACAGAAAGATATAAACAACTTGCCATTAAGCTTTCTCAGAGATGGAGTTTGAGTACAATTTTCACAATAACTAAAGTTGATATAAATAATTAAAATACAGTATTTTTACCTTACTGTAGCAATTCGATCTAAAGCAAGTTGCAATGCCTCTGCTTTCACTGATATGAAGTAATTCCAGTGTTCGCTCGGTAGTCTTAAAGATGATTCTCTATACAGAAGCATAGATCCATGAGAGAAGCATTCTTCATTTTGGTTTGGATCACTGTATCAAAACTACTAACACATCATCTATTACTCTTAAGAGTGCAGATCCTAGAGGTCAATGAGATTTCAAAAGTACTTGCCTCAACAAGTGAGACATTATATCTTCGTTATGGAATTTATGTATGCTTCTGGAATAACTGATTTCAGTTTCATAAGAAAAGAATTACCTAAATCCCCAACCGAAAACACCAGAGGTGATGTTGCGGCAATAAGAACAAAATTTTCACCATTCCCTACATCTATTTTGTACAGCTCATGGAAAACTTCCTGAAAAAGATTTACCATGCTGTCATAGAAGGACCTGCTTGGAGGAATGACATTAATAGCAAGAATCCCAAATTCAGAAAGAAATAATTTAGCAGTAAGAAAAACATGCTTTCTAACAAATTCCAAAGGTGGAGAACTTGTACCGTTCCTTACATCACTTGAATCTATATCAACCATAACAACATCAAATTTATGATTGGCCACATCCTCTGCCAAGTGGTCACTAAAACCATTAACCTCATAATCAGCAAAAGAACTCTTATTATACAGTTTTTCATTGCATGCAAGCTTCTTCATAGATTCAAAGGCATCTCCAACAACAACATGAATAAATCCACCGTCTTTCAATCCAAAATAATGCCTTGCCACCCTCAAAACCTCCCTATCACTATCAACACCCATGACCTCAAAACCTAATTGAGTTGTCAGAAAAGTTGGCAAAGCTCCACCTCCAACCCCAAGGCATAAAGCTTTTGGTCTAAACCCATTCTGGATCCGGCCCTCTACATATTCACTAATCAATGCAAGAGAAGATACCATAGGTGCCAAGTAAGGGTGCACCAAAACCTTAAGATCAGGCACAAACCCCACATCACTACCAATGCATACACCATTCAAACTATGACCATGTGTCTCTGGGATAATACGAATTTCAGTTTGAATCAAATTAGGCATCCTCTTGAACCTCAACCTCCTCCTAAATTCCCTTCTATGATGCCCAATATCACTCCCATTTTCAATTTCAACATCTTCAACCAACATTTCACCAACATGACAACCAACACATTCATGTATTACCATACTAGAAATCAAGTTATCCTCATAACTCAAAATGGGTATCTCAGGAATGCCATTTTTAAACAAAGATCTGGGAGACAAGGCTAAAACAAGAGGTTTTGACCACACCTGGAATCCCTGCTGATGCAATGAACATTCTAAGGGCCGATGATAAACACGAGGAGAAAAAGCGCTCTCCTTCAACTGGTTCCCTATCAAAATCAAACGTGATATTCCTGAAGAACTGAAGAGAAGTTGTAGATGACCCAATTCAGTAGAGAAGATCCAATCAGTTTCACGGCCTTCAGGGACTAACATGGCACCAACTCGAGGTGAGTCAGTGGGTTGAAGTGGTGAGTCGAGCACAGCAACTCGGAGTGGTGAATCTAAACATGTTGGATGGGGTATTGTGAAGGTGATAAAGCGAGAAGGGCTTAACCTTTCAAAGGTTGATACATCAAGGGCCATCACACTCTATTTTGTTCTTGAATATCTCATCTTCCACCTCAACTTGACCATAACCATTTCTTTGAGATTGTTTGTTACTCTTGATATTGTCATGACTAAAGTAGCAACTTTTTGGTATCTTCAAGTCTACAAAAAAAGCACATCTATAAATATGAATACAATTTTAGTTTGGGGTGTCGAAGAAGTTATGAGCTAGAGAATTATGGTTATGCTTGCAAAATGGGAAAACAGTATCGTCCCATAAAACAATGAAAATGCAAACATGCAGCAATTGAGGCATTAAAAATGACAGAAATAGGAAAAAATAAGAAGGAAAAAACTGTTAGAAACCAGAATAGAAAAGATGAGAACCCAAGGACAGATGGGCCAAAGGTTTGAAGTATGCCCAAAAGGTGTAGTTAAGGTTGCAGAGCCCAATTATCTTGTGGGCCCAAATTCTGAGTAGGTCTGCTATGCAGAGAAAGTTAACTTGCATTATTTGATGGAACACCACAACTCAGATATTTCCCATTCAGAAGACTTGCAACCAAAAATGGAATGGGCTTAGTACTTTTGGGCCCATGACACTCAGGTTAGGTTGACCCATGACTCGCGAGATTGGTCACAGTTTTAGTTTCATATATTAAAAAAATGAAAGAAAGGAATATTATTTCTATGTTGATGCCAGATAAATTTTAGTCATGGCTTTACTTCAGAGACCTTGTCCTTTGTAATCACATGTACGCTACTATTATTCAAATGATAAGCTTTTCTTCGCTCAATGTTTATCTGTCTACAAAGCGAAAGAGCATCATTCAAATTTCTAGGTCACAACCAACCAAATAGACATTGTATCACGCTAACAAACGGATCAGCAGACCTTACTCAGACAGAACTTGGATGCAAAATTTCAAAAATGAGGGCAATAGCCACCAGGCATTTGATGTCTAAACAACCAATTTAATCAATTACATACTATAAAGACAACATTTTGCTCTTCAAGTAAGATAAAAATTTATTAATCTTAATAACTAGAAGTTGGGCTAATAGAACACCTGCATTCCACCAAATTTCCAAATGTAATAACTCAAATACTATCATTTCTTTGCAGAACAATCAACTCTGGATGATGGCAAGCAATCCCCTATTTCTTTCTGCTATTACCAAATGGGGTTTCAAGGAATGGAGGATACCTAATATCCAACAACAAAGTAAATTAACAAAGAGAACAAATAAAGTAGCTTATAGTAACGGCATAGAATAAGTTGCATATTCCCCCATCCCCCAATAACATTTAAAAAAGAAAAACACTACAACTAGATTAGGATAATCTTGCTAAGGCACAAATACTCTTTCATCATGTCCTGAACCTCTAACATCCCTCAGTATTGGGATTAGGATCTAATCATGGTTTGATCCAAAAAACAAAAGTGAAACAGAAATATGGTTTAAACAAACCAAATGGGGTTTTGGTTTAAATAACTGGTTTTGATTCAGTGAACTGGTTTTGAAGGTTCTGAACAAGTTTTGGTGCTGTCAGTATTTGTGATCCAGTTCAGCCCATGAACAGTTCAACAGGTTCAGAAACCAGTTCTTTGCCTTATTTAGGTTCTGCTGCAAATTGGTTCAAATATTTAATGGTTCAGAATCTGAATTCATTTCTAATCAAACCAATAACAACTAATCTAATTAGTCAATTCCAAAACTACTAATATTTAACCAAATATTTACTTTATAAAGAACAGTCCTCTAGGCTAAATTCTAACCCTTGGACCCTATACTTAATAGAGCATTTTCTATTTTTTCTACTTATGTTGAAGCAGTTAACTATGTTCAATGATCAATAATGTAAGTACATTTTCTCAGTCACTAAGTTTCCTTTACTTATTGATACGTATCAACTAAAGATAGAAATGAGGGCTGAATGTCTGTATTATTTACGTATTCAGGACTAGAATTAAAGTCCAAATCCTGAGATTAGTGTTGCTTACAGTATAAAACAAAAAGAAAACAATAAAAGAAACTCTCCTTAGTCACTTCAGGAGACCTAAACTCTCCCAATGGTCCCAAATTCAACTAGTCCCAACCTGCTTCCTTTCCCCCCACCTCTCTCGACTTATATTGTTGCTTTTCCCCACTATTCCCATGCACTACTGCTAGGCAGTCAGTTGCTCCTTTCTCCCTCTTGGCTATGGTCAAGTGCAACGCACCTTTTGGCCCTTCTCTCATACACTTTAGAAATAATGGGCTTCTTTGGGCAGTAATCACTTATCAATCCCTTTGGTATAATTTTCTCTCACGCCCAGATAACTCATCCAATATATAAGGAAAAACTTAAGTCATAGTGAACTCTGTTAATAGGCACAAGTCTCCTCACACAATTAATTCAAATGGGAAAATAAAACTTTAACCCACAGTACTTGAAACTCAAGTTCTAAGGACACATGCAACAGAGTCATGAAGGGGTTTCCTATAAGGGGAAAATGGGAATGGCCCCACTCCTTATAGGAATCAACAAGTGCAAACCCCCATTGGAGTTGCCTCTTTCAAGTGTTCATTGCATCAAATATATGATTAGAGCATCAGCCAGCATAAAATTAGCATCCATTAAATCCAACACATATAAATGCATACTGAAATTATTGAAACAAAAGCCAGGTCATTTGCATATAAATATTTTGATGGATGAACTATAGTCTTATAATGCCATTGCGGCTCATTAGTAGTCCCAAAAAAAGATGTCCTTTTTTTTTTTAATTACGGCCCATCTTAGATAAACTTTATTAATCAACACTTACAAAAACAACAATAATCAAGTCTTATCCCACTAGGTGAGATCAACTAGAATCACATGACATCATTGAGCTTGATTAAAAATCAAGTTCTCCGAAATATTATTTATAATTAAATCTCTTTTAATAATTTCCTCTAAGGCTATGTTTGAGAGTTATGTTTAGGAAGAGAGAGGAAAGGAGAGGTTAGGTGAAGTTAACCCTTATTTGGGAGTTACTTATTTAGGAAGGGAAGAGTTTGAGGTTTTTTTTAAACCCTCCAATACCCTCCCAACGTTAGTTTTTTGAGTTCTCCCATTATGGGAGTTTTCTCTCTCCCACCCTCTCTTACTCTTTAATGATTAGGATTCTAACTTAAAAAAAATAAAGAAAAAACCTTAGTTTTTCAAGTGAGAATTTTTCTAAAAATTTATAAAAAATAAAAATATTAATTTTAAAAATATTAATTTAAAAATTATTAATTTATAGATAAATAAAAATATTTATTTTTTATTTTTTGAAAAAGATTAAAAATAAAAATAAAAGATATAAAATATAATAATATCATTTATATAATTAAACTCTCCATTACCCTCCCCTCTCAATATTGAACATCCAAACAAGAGAGAAGTTTAACCTCCTTCCCCCTTTAAACCCTTTCCATCCCTCTCCCTTCAACTCCTAAACAAAGCCTACTAAAGTTCTTCTATGTCTCCCTCAATCCCTTTTCATGAGATTAAGAGTCATATCTTTCTCAATAAGTATTTAAAGGAGAAAAAATGGAGAAGTAAAATAAATCAAATTTCAAAAGTTAAATGTCATGCACGATACACCTTAACATTTAAAAAAGTTAAATAAAAGAACTTCTTAAAAGAGGTCAAGAGCATAAGTTGATTTCAACTTTTAGGAGAAGTTTAATTCATTTTACATCTCTCAAGTTTATCCAAACTGGGCCTATATCCAAAGTTGAGAACTTTGGTTGAGGTGTTTGATCAAGTGTATACTTCCTATATGAGCAAATTTGGCAAACTAGAAAACCATATATTTTACTACAAATCAAATTTAAGCAGTATAACTCAAAAAAGTGGGTGGGGTGCAAGGCAAAAGAGATGAAATAAGGAGTTGAAAAGAAAGACAGAAGGGAGAGCTTGAAAGAGGTGTGCAAGAAGAGATGACAAAGTAAAAACAGTTAAGGAAAAAAAAAGAGGCTAACAAAGGAAGTGTATTTAAAATAGTAAGGATAAAAATGAAAGAAAAAAATAAGCTACAGCATTATAAGCTATAAGCTGGCTAGCTAAAGTAGCTTTATAATATAGCTTAAAAGGTACAAGCTAGTGAAATAAGCTTGTTTATCAAATGATCAAACAAACTTATAAGCTAGAATCTTGCCTATTTAACAGGCCAAAGGCAAACACACTCATAAGCAAGTGACAATAGATAGGTAATGACAAGATATCATTAGTCTCTCACAAAAGATATTTAACAGGTCAGAGCCCACATTTTTGTCTGTTCTCGCTCCCTTCCATCAAGTAGCAAAGCTTGAGAAGATGATAAAGCAATTGTTCCCAGAAGTGGCTGGACAAATTGGCTTGCACTCTGATTCAACCCATTTGGAGAGCCACTTTGAATCAACCCAGAAATGGCTAAATTATGAAGTTGTTTATCTGCTACCAAGGGAAATATGATTTTGATTCGAGGGGCTACTTTGTTCATTGTCAAGTCTACATATATTTGCTGTCTTGGTAAATGGATTGGCTGTATTTTTTTACCTGGGATTTAAATTTAATCTACTGCTATTTTGTTAAAATTGCATTTGTAGCCTATATATAATAATGCAGATTGCAAAGAGATATGGGAGATGAAAAAAATTTATCTTGCACAATTGAAGATTACAGGAAAAATGACAGGAAAGAGATGTGTTTTTGCTTGGTTGCCCTGATTAAAATACTTACAGCAGGTATTAGTTCAACAAAAGGCAAGTATGGAAGCAAGAAATAGTGAGAGTATCCCCATCCAATCCATGTATTCTTTCTTTGACAGTATTGTTTATCCTAGTCGTCACTCAACATCAAATTCAATATTCTGCTCAATATACACAAGCTTTATCTTTATATCTACAAATAGTTGTTGGGCAAGCTTACAACACACACATCTTGCAAAATCAGAAGAGGAACTATTATAAATGAATCATACCAACTTGGCACGCAAAATTTTTCACAAAGTATGCATCCAAACCAGACATCAGGGATTAGATGAAGATCCCCAACAAGTCAATTACCAGGATGGATGAAGATGAAGAACGATTCAGAAGCAACTCGTAATACCTCAAGGACGAGAAATCGAAGTTCCTTGCTGCTACCGAAAATAAAAGAGAGAAATTTAATTAGCATAAAGTGAAAACTGAAACGAACGAAAGGCATACAAACGAGATGAAGGGTACCTAGAGAGAGCATAAATGAAGAGGGATTCGGTTAGGGTTGGTAGAGATGCAGTGACTCGAACTAGACGAAATTAGGAAATTCGAGATTAGGGATTGGGATGAAATTGCGGTTTAAGTTTCAATTGGCTTAGAGTTACAATTGGCTTAGTCATAAAATTTGTAAAGTATGGTGGTCGCTGTTATTAAATTTTTATTTGCTCTTCAGTCTTGAGGGCATGTGGCTCTTCAGCAACCAGAAAGAATTTATTTTTATGAAATTTTGAGTATGGAATTATTACAAGAGAATGTTATTCAAGTGCTTCCAATTTATGTATTTTCAATAAATCAAAAATCTTTAGAATAATAAATTAAGCTTTATTGCAAAAAGAAGAAATAACTTCAAAAGTGAACCAATTAGAAGAAAAATTATTTGTTTCAAAAAATTCAATTCCATCTTTATAACATTCTTTATTTTTTCTTATCATTTGGATCCGATCTACAATCTCAGTTTAGAATGGGCAAAGTTTCAAATGAGTGAACAGTCAAATATCTAGACCATGATTTAAGATTCCTTATATGTATTATATGATCCTTTTCATTACTTTCCAATAAGAGTGAAGAAGATTTGGTGTGAATTGTCAAACTTTATTTACACAATAAGCAATGTTGGCTTATTGAAAGTTGCATACCAAAGAGTTTCAACTATAGACCTATATAGTGAAGGGTTAGAAAAATGTATTCCTTCATGAGTTGAAAGCTTAAGACCAAATGTCATGAGAGTAGGTGCAGGTTTGTAATCTCTTATCTTTGTTTTATGTAACAAGTCTCAGATATATTTAATTTTAGAAAGAAACAAACCTCCCTCCTTTATTTATGTTGCTTCCATGCCAAGAAAACAATATAAATCCCCTAAATCTTTTAAGGAAAAGACTATATGAAATTGTATGATCAAGGAAGTGATGACATGAGATGAATCACCTTTGATTATTATATCATTTACATAGTCTATGAGAAAGATAGTTTCTTTGGTGGTAATTCTATGAAATAAGGATGAGTCACATTTAACTTTAGTAAATCTAAAACGAGATAGAGTTAAGTTGAGTTTCTCAAACCAAAAGCCTATTTTAAGCCATAAGGAGCTTTCTTAACTTTGCAAATCATTTTGGAAGATCCTTGAGAGAAATTTGGAGGTTGTAGCATATATTCTTTTTCACTCAAATCACCGTTTAAAAAGGCATAATAAAAGTCAAATTGCCTTATTGGCCATTGCTTGGATAGAGCAAATATTAAAACAGTTATTATTATGTTTGTTTTTATCATTGGACTGAATGTTTTCTTGAAGCCAAAGCCTTTTGCTTGTTAAAAACCTTTTGCAATAAGCTTAGTTTTGTATTCATTTATGCTACCATCATAATTGTATTTAAGTTTAAAGACCCACTTACAATCTATTGTGCTCTTATGTGTTGAAAGAGTCTCCAAAGATCAAGTGTTGTTTTTTGATAGAGACTTATACTTATCAATCATAACTTGTTTCCAATTTGGATTTTGTAAGACTAACTTAATTGAGGTCAATTTAGTTTCTATGACAGCAGTGAATACTCGAGGTTTAAAGAGACCAACCTTAACTCTAGTGATAAGATGAGTATTTGTGCTTAAGTTGAGAAATATAGTTGAAAATTTCATGTTGGTTTTGACAATCACTATTGGTAACTTCATTTTTGAGATCACAAGAAACTGGAGAAATAATTAAATTATTGACAACAATATTAAGAGGTAAAGAATTCATTTGAGTGTTTTGTGTAGAAGTATGATGAATTACTTTAATAAAAGGTACATTATTAATAGAACTTGATAGATTATTAGGTTGAGCTAATATATTATTGTCATTTTGTTTGAAAGAAAATAAAAATTCATTAAAAATAACATTTCTAGTTATATAAATTTTTTTCATCAAAAATAACTTTAAAACCTTTAGGACATACACTATATCAAACAAATGTACAAAGGTTGATATTTGAATTGAAGTTAATGTTTATATTAAAGTCTAAGATTTGAATAACACCCACAATTAAATTTTTAATTGAAAATAATCACATTCTTTTTGAAAAGGGGTTTCAAATGGAGATGTAAAATTAAGAGATGGTGTAAACAACAAATTAATAGTACGTGAAACAGTAGTAAAAGCTTTATTCCAATATTTTAAAGGCATGAGAGAGTGAGCAAGTGAAGATAAATCAGTCTCAGTCTATGTAATATGTTTGTGCTTTTTTTTTGTACATTTATTTTGCTAATGTATATAAGGATATGAAAACGTATGAATAATTACATTTGAGGCAAGATGTCTGAATTGCCTTTAGTTGTGTTTACAGTTGCAATTTTGCCATTGTCTTGAAATGCTGAAAGAGCTTGAGACCTATTTTATAAAAAATATATCAAAGTGTATCATGAGAAGGAAAAGGCATAAGTGAAAGTTATATAATATCTTGCACCATTATTTACAGTAAGAGGTGAAGGTCCCTACATATCTAAATACACAAGTTTAAGAGGAGTATAATAAACAATAGTAAAATTTTTAAATGGAAGATGATGTGACTTAGAAAAAAAAAGAAGATTCACAAACAATTTCTTCTTTATCATTGTTAACTAAAATGTTATATTTTTGTAATATATGTTTCACAATTTTCTAGGTTGCATGAGCTAATCTAGCATGCCAAAGAGCAAAATTTATATTCTTAGTTGAATAAACGGTTAAAGACATATTATTTGAATATAAATTTTGACTCAACGTAGTTGAGAGAAGATTATGAAAAACATATAATCCATTCTTAAGTGTTCCTTGTAGCAAAATATGTTTAGTGTTGTAAGATTTAACACAGTAATGGTTAGAGAAAAATTCAAAATGAACTTTATTGTCTTTGTAAAATTGAGACACTTTGTAAAATTTTGCAGACTCCAAGAACATGGAGTAATTGTTTAGAATCAAAGGAGAGAAAGAAATTTCAAAAACAATTTTAGAACTGCCAACATGTTTTATAGGGATACTTGCACTATTACCAAATTGTACAAATTCTTAACCATTGTATGGAACCTTAATGTGTAGCTTAGACATTTCGGATGTCATGTGATTTGAGGACCTAAATCTAGATACCACGTAGGATCTATTATTGAGGCAGGTGTGTTAATTAATGTTTATGGTTGAAGCTCCACATTGGCAACAAATGCTTATTAATGAGATGATGTATTCAAATAAGAGAAAGTTCTATTATTTTGATCAGCATAGGAATGAGATAGATTCTCATTAAACCTTCGATAACAATTCCACGCAATATGCCCTAAGTTTCCACTGAGTTGACAATAAAGTTTAGACCAATTATTTGATCTTACTCCTCTTAAGTTTTGACCTACTCTTTCATCTTTGTTTGATCGACCATCTCTGAAATTTGAATTGTTGAATCTTTCATTTCTACCATTATTGTAACCTTCTCAAAGATTGAAATTACTTATATTGTTTTGACTTTGTGCAAAATTTGTTGAAATAGGGAAAGAAAGCTCAACATTCATTTTTTTCTCGATGCGCTCTTTTTGAGCCATTAAGAGAACTTCTATTTCATCAATGATATAAGAATTTGTCTGAAATGTTACTAAGATATCAAAAGAATCTTACTCTTCCTCTTATCCAAATAATATAGCATTGATGTGTTGGGCATATGTGAGTAAAGCTCTAATTATTGCAAGTGCATCTAAGACTTTCTTTATTTGCAACAAATATTCAAATGTTAGTCTTTGTTTCTTTATGCTCTTGAATTAACACTACAATTGATATATTTTGCTCTTGTTTGATATGCAAAAAATTTCTAACTTGCTCCAAATCTAATAGGAATAATCACACCCAACTATTCTAAGAGTAAAAGTTTTTGTCATGGATGTCAACATTCAAGACATGAGAAATGAATCATGTTACTCCTAATTTTTAAATTCTTCTAAACCTTTGTCAACTACTGATCTTCTTCTGCTAATAACCTTTTAGGTAGTCCATTTTCTTTAAGATGTTTTTGAAGCTAGTAATACTTGATTATGCAAGAACTTGACGCTTTCAAAATAGGAAGTTTTCATTTAATTTTTTTATACTACATTTGAAAAGGTTTGAAGCATGATAAATTGATTAAGGATTATACAATTGATCGATAAGTTAGAATACAATAGAATAACAAAGAATATAAATTTTGTTTTGATCTAATTTCACATACCATACAATAAAAGAATATATATATATATATATATATATATATTATTTCATAAAAATAAAATAAATAACTTTTAATTAATACAACTATTTTTCTTTACAAATCTAATTTACATTCAAAATATCAAACAATAAAATTTATAAAATTAACTAATAAAAAGAATATACTATTAAAAATAATTTATTTTAAAGATAAAATGAAATTATTCTATGACTGATTTAAAAAATATTATTTTAAATTTTAGAGACAAATTTAACTCAAGAATTTCAATTGACTTGAGTAAATAAAAAACTAAACAATTTTATTCTTGAGTAAACTAAAAAAAACTTGAATTTCAAAAATAATAAAAACCAAAATATGTACCAATAATATAAATTTGATCAAAATAAAAATCTTAATAAATTAATTAAAAAAATAAAATTTTTATTTATCTACCTAATTATTATACGGTTTAACTAGTTTGTTTAATATGTGACCAATTAAACTGGTAATCTAATAATCGAGTAAAATCAAGCATTTGTTTGATATTGACAACAAAATTACATTCACTTGATATCAAGTATAGTTGATATAAGATTTTTTATGCATATATTTTTTTAGTTGAGATGCTAATTATTTTTTATAGGGTAACTCTTTCCAACGCGTCCATCCAACTTGAAACTTATGAAGAGTGTGTTAAAATATTCAGAATATATATTGTATAAGAAAGAATCAACAAACAACTGTGAATTCAAGTTTAATTTACATGGTATATTTTTAATTTTAATATTTCTTACATATCAATTTAACTAATAATTTACTTCCTAACTAATAATTTATTAACCTAATATTTAAATTTAGGCAATGGCTGTTTAGAGTTTTAATTATTATTATTATATTTAAAATATATTCAAATAAAATTTTAACCTTAAAAATATAATATTAAGCATGTTTTAAGATGTTAATCAATACATAAAATAAATAATTTTTTTTTATTTATATTGATTTTAAGTGATTATTTTTTTAACAATATAATATATGTATATATATTTTTAAAAATAAAAATCTTAAAATATCCCGGCGTACGCATGACCACCACCGACAGAAAATTGCCAAGTAGCAGTGAACGGTGGCGGTAGCGGCGGAGGATAGCTGATGAGCAAGGGAGATACTGAATTCTAATGAGTGATTGATAACTCACAAAATCAAATTAGTTTCGTTTTAATCGAATTCAAATGACAGCGTGATGGATCCCCCACCCCAATTTTCTTCCTCATTGCCTCCTCTGCAAAGCCCTAACCCTAATGTTTTGAACACCAACTCCGATTCGATCCCAAATTTGCTCCAAAACCCTAACCCTAACCCTGCCTTGAGCCACTATCTCTCTTTGTCTGTCCCTAAGAAGAGGAGGCGCGGCAGGTCCCAACGCAATCCGACGTCGTTTCGCGTTCCTCTCTCTCTCAATGCTTCTTTCAACGCTAACTACAACGATCCATCTTCTTCTTCATCCAGAAACCCTTCGTCATCTGCACCCGACATCGCCGACGAGATCATCGTGATCAACAAGGAACCCAAAACGGAAGCGTTGATTGCTCTTACGGCTGGTTTTCCGGCGGATTCGCTGACGGAGGAGGAAATCGAAGCCGGGGTTCTCCCCGTCATTGGAGGGCTCGAACAGGTGAATTACACTCTCATTAGGAACCACATTATTGCGAAATGGCGGGAGAATGTGTCCAATTGGGTCAGTAAGAAAATGTTTGTTGATTATATACCTCAACATTACCATGCCCTTTTGGACTCTGCGTATAATTATCTTGTCTCACATGGGTATATCAATTTTGGAGTTGCTCCTTCCATTAAGGAAAAGATTCTGGTGGAGCCAAGTAAGCCAGGGGTGATTGTTATCGGTGCTGGCCTTGCTGGGTTGGCTGCGGCGCGGCAGCTGATGAGGTTCGGGTTTAAGGTGACAGTTTTGGAAGGGAGGAAACGAGCCGGTGGACGGGTTTACACAAAGAAGATGGAGGGAGGGAATAGGGTGTGCGCCGCGGCGGATTTAGGTGGGAGTGTTTTGACAGGTACCTTGGGAAATCCCCTTGGGATTGTAGCTCGGCAGTTAGGTGATCTGCTTCATAAGGTGAAGGATCGGTGTCCGCTTTATTGTGTGGATGGAAAGCCAGTTGATCCTGATATGGATGTGAAGGTGGAATCTGCTTTTAACCGATTGCTTGACAAGGCAAGCCGGCTTAGGCAGTTGATGGGGGAGGTCTCTGTTGATGTGTCACTTGGTGCTGCGCTGGAAACATTTAGGCAAGTGTATAAGGATGCTGTGACTGATGAGGAGATAAACTTGTTCAATTGGCATCTTGCAAATTTGGAATATGCGAATGCGGGTTTACTATCGAATCTTTCGCTTGCATTTTGGGACCAAGATGATCCTTATGATATGGGAGGGGATCATTGTTTTTTGCCTGGTGGGAACGGAAAGCTGGTTCAAGCTTTGGCTGAGAATGTGTCTATTTTGTATGAGAAAACTGTGCATACGATTAGGTACAGTAGTGATGGAGTGCAGGTCATTGCAGGAAGTCAGGTATTTGAGGGTGATATGGCATTGTGTACGGTTCCACTAGGTGTCTTAAAGAAAGGGTCAATCAAATTTATACCAGAGTTGCCTCAACGAAAGCTTGATGGAATAAAAAGATTGGGTTTTGGTCTACTGAATAAGGTTGCTATGCTTTTTCCTCATGTGTTCTGGGAGATGGATCTTGACACATTTGGACATCTTTCTGATGATCCAAGTCGCCGTGGGGAATTCTTTTTGTTCTATAGTTATGCTACAGTTGCTGGCGGTCCCCTGCTGATTGCTTTAGTAGCAGGGGAAGCTGCACATAAGTTTGAGAGCATGCCCCCTACAGACGCAGTCACACGTGTTATTCAAATTCTCAAGGGTAATCTTTATATGAAATCGAAAACCTTGATATTTTCTTTCCCATCATAATCAGCTAATAGTTATGATATAATAATGTTCCTACAAAATAAAAAAAATAGAAGTTACAAGATAAGAAATTGCATGTCTTTATATCAAATAGTTTGCATGTTTTCCTCAATTCCCCAACCTGTGTCTTGGGCTATGAGTTTATTCAGAATATATGTAAATTAAGTACACGTTTGGTTGAGATTAATTTTGGTTGCTTATTTTCAAAAGCTCTCTTGGTAAATTGACCAAACAAGTAATTATTTTTCTAAAATAAGCTGAACCAAATACAAGTTATATAGTTTCCCATTATAATTCAGCAGTAATACTTCTGAACAAGTTTTGGTTGCTGAATTTCAGTCTAATAAATTTCTTAAATTTGATTATTATTTTATTTAGGAAATATTTATGAAGCAAAGTGCTTTATCTGTCTGCAGGTATCTATGAACCAAAAGGAATCAATGTTCCTGAACCTATTCAAACTGTTTGTACTAGATGGGGTAGTGATCCCTTCTGCTTTGGTTCTTACTCTAATGTTGCAGTTGGAGCTTCAGGTGATGATTATGACATTTTAGCAGAAAGTGTGGGAGATGGTAGACTTTTCTTTGCTGGGGAAGCAACCACTAGGCGCTATCCTGCTACCATGCACGGGGCTTTTCTAAGTGGTCTAAGAGAAGCTGCAAATATGGCCCACTATGCTAATATTCGATCACTGAAGATGAAAGTCGATAAGACCCCTTCAAATGCTCATTCTTGTGCTTCCCTTCTTGCAGATTTATTTAGAGAACCTGATATAGAATTTGGGAGTTTTTCTGTCATTTTTGCTCGAAAGAATGCAGACCCCAAGTCACCAGCAATCTTGAGGGTAACATTTAGTGAGCCTAGAAAGAAGTGTCATGAAGTTGCAAAACAAGACCAACAACTGCACTCAAACAAATTACTTTTTCAGCAGCTTCAGTCACATTTTAATCAACAGCAGCAGCTTCATGTTTACACTTTACTGTCAAGACAACAAGTTCTTGACCTACGGGAGGTAAGAGGTGGCGATGAAATGAGATTGAATTACCTTTGTGAAAAGCTAGGAGTGAAACTGGTGGGAAGAAAAGGATTGGGACTGGGTGCTGATTCTGTCATTGCTTCTATTAAAGCTGAGAGGGGCAATCGGAAGCCCATTTCAACCTCTTTGGCTCTTAAATCAGGTGGCTGATATACACAATAAAATGTTGTTTTCATCATTTTTACAACTCTTTGGAAACAGGAAATAAAGTGAAAATAATGAGGCATTTTTGCAGTTATTTATGAAAACAGAATGAAAATGGAAAACGTTGTCACAAATCAAAGAGGCCCCTAAAATTTGTTGTTTCTTTGCGTCTCTTTCTTTTTATTTGTTCTCCTCTGTGTATGCATAATTGCCTGACCAATATAAATAACATTTTTCTTGGTTTATAAAAGGAGTATCAAAGCTGAAAGCTGGCATAATGAAGCGCAAGTTAATCAGGTTTGGGCTGAATTTCTTGATATATGTTATATTGTTTCCTCATCTCAAATATCCGAATTGTATTTGTTATGAAATTGTAACTTTTCTATATTGGTCAATTCAGAAGGGCAAAAGTTGTGAGGAAAAGCAATGGGTCTGTTGTTCATGCTAGCACAAATGTGGGGAGTGCCAACAAAGTATCAGAAGAGATGCAGATGACAGATCAAGTGCTTCCTGATGTGCCTGTTTCAGGTAATTATTTTATAAGGAAAAAAATATTTTTATAGTCAGTATTCCCTCTCAAAATGTACATTCTTTGGAGCTGCCTGCATGGATTGTATGATAAGTTGTTTTAAGTTCTTGTACTTCTTGTAGGTAACTTAGTTTTGATGGTTTCCTTTGTTATGAAATTCTTTTTTCAGAAACACCTAGATTTGTATGTTGCTGACTTTAAGAACTTGGATTTTTTCAGTTTAACATGTTTAAGATGGGAGATCAATTCCCATCCTAGAGATACGTCATCTATTTTTGTTGGATTTTTATGTATATGGTCAGAACTTGAACCTGGATGTCAAAGAATCCAGATTTTTGTTATTTTATTGTTGTCTTTCCCTAAACTATCCTCTTATCAAATATTATGAGACTTCACCCAGATGACAGGGTAATCGTCTTATGTGATCAAGCAGAATAATTCCTTTCCCTGCATACTCTACTTGTTTGCTATATAATTAAAATATTAGACTAGAGATCTTGGATGGGTTGGGTTCCCCCCCCCCCCCCTCTCTCCAGGAGCGCTCTACAGATGGGACAAAATGTGAGGAATTTGTGGCAGTTTACTAGAAACATGGATAGTTGGTAACGGGCTATTTTCTTATATGTATGGATTTGCAACTATTTTGTTAAAATTGACCAGTCTGTAATATCTCACTAGTCAGCTACTTTCCATACTATTTCTTCTTCCATATCTGTTCTAGAATTACTAGTCGTGTACCTTCTCATCATTATGCAGACACATGCGTGCATATGCAGACTCTTCTCTTTGATTTTCTCACTCTTCTACTGCCAAGGATTTATTTACATTTCATATTTTTTCCCTATAAGGGTACCTTTATGATTTTGCATTCTTGACATTTTTTATTTTCCTTTTCTGTTTGCTGTTTGGAGGGTATCTTACCCTCCCCCTTGTTGCACCTGACTTCTAAACACAGTTACATTTTCTTCATCTAATCAAATGAATAAAATAAGGGTATCCCTAGCACCCTTACTTAAATTTAACCAAATGCCATTTTATAACTTAAACTTAACTACCATGTGTTTTTTGGTTATGTAGTTTGTCCAAATGAAATACTAACTTTCTAAATATTTCTAGGGAACAATCAGAATGACGTGTCAAATTCATGAATGGATGAATAGCCTTCCTTCACATAGTAGGTGAGACATACCTAACAACTCTGAATCTTGATATTTTTTTCTTGGATTAAAATATTTCTGGTATTATATGCATTAAGAAGTGAAGCTAGTAGTCCAGCATTCTACTATCCTATTCAATTCAACAGAAATTTCAGATTTATTATTTTAATTTTTAATAGACTAAATTTTCATATTGCAGAAAAACTAAGATGCCATTCAACTTGTTCTCCCTTAGTGCTTTTCTCTGATCATCAGGTGTCATTCTCTGTATCCTCAGTAATTTATCAACAATATTTCTCTTAACATTTTTCTAGTAAATGGTAATTAGTAAGAAGTGCGAGGGTGAGCCTTGGTACCATGGTAAGATTTCTGCCTTGTGGCCCAGGGTTGAAATCCTAGAAAAGCCTCGCTACTTGCAAGGATAAACCTCTCTACACCCCCCAAACCTCACTAGGCGAGAGCCTCACGCACAGGGTAATTTGTAAGAAATACATTTGAAAGTTGTAGTAGATAATCTTCTAATTAAATCTAAGATCTTGACAATGTTGGCCCATGCATGATACCCATCTATCATTTTCCTTGACATTCTTTAACAATATGGGTACCAGCTGTTTGCCAAAGTTTCATACATAACATTGTTGTAGCTGTCTTTGGGTAAGGTATCAATTTATAGCATTTCATCCTCAGCGCAATTGTTCAATAAATTGAAGATGGGGTCTTGCAAAATACCTTGAGTGCTGATCGTGCTTTGATGCAGCAAACTAGCATGTATTATATCTATTCTAAATCAACAGATTCAACACCAATCAGAATGTTGACATTGCCTTGGTCTATACCTGATATGCCTTGAGTAGATGGATATGCCTGCTACCGAAGAGATGAACTAGTGAATGGGTTACCTGACCAGAGGTCTCATTATGCCCATGTCTCCTGCAAATTGAGATTTGAGACTGGCCATTGCCCCTTTTAAGGTTCAGTGCCACCTTTTAAGGCAGCAAAGGGGAAAGAAAATCTGTTCTTGTAATATTTTGTATTCTCATTTGTGCTTATTGAATGATTTATTAGGAAATGAAACCACAATCTGTAACTTATTCTACGATCGGAAAGTCATGCTCCTCAATTCTCTCCTGTATGAGTCTTTTTTTTTTTTAAACTTCTTTTTAGTGCACTAATGTTGGGTGCCATTCGGCTTTCATGGGATTAAGCGTTGACTTTATGCATAAAGTTTAGTTGTTGAGTCGTTCTCTGTAGAAGAAAATGATCTCGGTAGGAATTTTGATGAAGACGAAATCAAGCTTCAAGGGAGTAATCTCGATAAAATCTTAGTTCGTTTCTTTAATAGTGAGTGATGCAGACTCTTTAAATAATTCTTGTTTTGGCTCTTAAAACGTAAAATCAACCATTTCAGATGGCTATAAAGTTAGTTATAGTTGATTTAGTAGGTAGAAGAATGTTTGCAATATACTCTTTATCATTGTTTAAAATTTATTGAAAATTATTGAAGTATGAAAGAGAAATATTAATTTAAGAGTGAAAAAAATTAAAATTTATATAATTTTTGTAGTTATTAATTAATTTCAGCGAATAAAAAAATGTTAGAGAATGTGTTATCATAGATTAAAAGTTTTAAAATGTTAAACATGTATTCTATTATAGCATTTAATACTTTCAACATTTTTTTATAAAAAAAATAGATAATAAAATTTTAAAACTAATAAAAAATAATTATATATTGTAAATTTATAGCATATTTTAAAAATACTAATAGTCATAAATTGTTAAATTGGTGTTTTATGCATTAAATGAATGAATATATTTATTTATATGGATAATGAGTGAATACTTTGTTAATATAAATTTTAGAACAAATAAGAGTATAAAAAAATTTACCAATTAATACATTTAAAAATGAGTTTGTTATAATTTACATAAAAAATTAGTCATTTTCTATAAATAGAATTGGAATAGTAGTTTATAAAAAAATAGTTTACTAATTGGTTCTTGATTACTTGTTAGTATATCAATTCTTGAATATTTTTGTGAATCAAAATAATTAATTACTAGTAAAAAATAATTGATTAAGTGGATCAAATAATAAAATAATCACTTAAAATAATTTATTAAAGGTTATTTCTCTCACTGAATAAAATGTTGAACTCAAAAAATTAATTACTCGTAACTGATCTTGTTGCTATTGCTTGTATCCTTACATATATATGAATATTTGAGATGTGGAAATAAAACAAGAAAATATAAAACTAAAATCCTCAAAGCTTTATCTATTATGATAGCTAGTTCTTGAGTTTTCTTTTGAGTTTCGTTGAGAGGATAAAATTGTTTACTTATTCTTTTCCCTACCCTTTTTCAATATTTATAAATTGATCAATGCAAGTAATTTTAGGTCTTCAAATCTTATTATTATGAATTTAATATCATATAATTTCACTCAGCATTGCTACATCTATTACTGGTTTTGATTTTTGAAAATCTTTATTCATTTGTTTTGAAAATTCCAAAGATTCTCAATAAAATTTCAATCTCCCCTCAGTTAAAACAATTTGGTTGATATTCGCCAACTCAGCATGCACATAGTTGCTTTGTTACTACCCAAAATCTCTATTATTTCCTTGTCTTTCTTATGATTTTATTGGATGATGTGGCTGTTCCAGAGATCTAATTGGTGCTTCTTTGATTGAATGTAATCCCTCGTATACCTCATCAATTACAAAAATTTATAAAAATATTTACTCTTCTTCCTTTTCTTTCAAAATATTTCACAAAACATAAAAAAATTTATAAAAATGTATTCTTTTCCCTTCATTTTCCTCCACCTATATACTATATTAAAGTGAAGGATCAACCATTGAAATTGTAATTAACTTTAACCTTTGTTTACACATACTTGATTTTATTGCAATCTTCAAGTGTTGATTTGTTTTAACAAACAATTTTGTAAGATTATTTATTTAAAAAATATAAGAGTTTTGTAAAATATTTTATATATTAACACATTCTAAAACTAAAGAGAAAGAGAAAATAAAATAATTTAAAAATAATTAAATTTGATAAATTTTTATTCAGACTCTTACATATTTTTCAGTGCAATGAAAAAATACAAAACTACAAGTTCTAAAAGAAATTTTTTTTAAGGTGCAAAATTAGAAGAAAAAATCTTATTAAAAGGTTGTAAGAAAAATTGAAAGTAAAACTTTTTTAAAAAGAAATATTATAATTAAAATAAACTATTTAAAGGTACTAAAATAATTTGGAGAAAGGTATTTTTATGTTTTTAATTTTTTTTAAAAATAAAATATAAAATTTCATCTTTTAATTTGTGAATGATATAATAATCTATATATCATTATGTGAATTTAAAAGTTTATTTTATAACTATATAACATGTAAATAATAGAATAATTTATATATCGTTTTGTGAATTTAATTTTTATTTTAAGTAGGAAGAGGTAAAAAAAAAATTTAATTTTTAAAAATAAATTAAAATGTACAATAATTTAAATGTACAAGATATTATATAATTTACTTAAACTAATACTCTTTACTAATGTAAAATAATTTATGTATTATTATTATTATAAATTGTTCTATGAATAAAGATTAAAAAAAATTCTATAAAAAAAGATTAAAACAAATTATTTGTTCATTTTATTTTAAAAATAAAAACATAAGAGTTTATAATTTATAATCATTTAGATTTTATAAAATATTTATTATTTTATGAGAAAAGTTTACATATTTAACTTTTTAATACTCAAATGATAAAAATAATTTATACATTTTTTTTGTTATTCATCATGCGTGTGTTCTTTTATTTAAAATTCTGTTGTAGCATAAGTTTAAGTGCATTTACTTTTGCAAAGATAATTGACTAAGTTTTAAATTTTGTTTCAAAATTATTTTTGTGAGAAATAAGTAGATTTATTGTACTTAATGGAATATAATTTCAAAATTTATTACTCAACGAAAAAAACTAGTATGTCATATACAAATTGTTTAATTATTTTTTTTACTTATTATTATTGTTGATGATAAGTATGACTAAATTGGATTTGAATTAGAAAAATAATTTCAAATTCAGTCCCTTAAGTTAAGTTGAATTTTATATTTACTGTATACCAAAAATAAAAGCAATATAGCGTACTTTTAAAAAAATATATATATAATTCAAATCTAATTTGTTAATCAAGAAACTATTTCTGATTTTATCTTAGTAAACCTAAGCCATATAAACTACTAAATGCAAGCTTAATAGGTCCCAAAAAGGAAAATCTAAATCAATTATGTTCCATTTTCAAAAAGGAAAATCATAAAAGGAAGGAGAGTAGAATACTACTATCTATGATGTTAAGATAACAGAGATGAAAAAGAGAAAATTTAAAATCAAAATTCATTTGCCACTTTTCTCCTTGTCCATTTTTTTTTTTATAATTTTTTTATGGTAATGGTTCACATACTCCTACCAAGATAATGAAGAGATACAATGGCTTTCAATGATTCTTAAATGGATCAATTATATTAAATAAATCACGATGTAATATACACACTAAATATGGGAAAGAAACTTTAAACAGAAAAATAAAAGAAAATTATAAACCACCAACCAGAAATATGAACCAAGTGAAGCGGAAAAAAATATATGAACCCAAACTCCATTATCTTAGTAACCAAGAAGAATGTGTGATGGCCAGCGAAGATGAAGGTAATTCTCAAGAATGCTAGTGAGAAAAGATTTTGGTGTATATGTATGAATGTCGAGAAGAGTGGAAAAAATGAATTTGTTAATACTTCCCTCAAGAGATCAAATTCTTTTACACATGTAAAAGTCCGTTTAACCAAAAAAGAGTAAATACATAATTACTTAAACAAGATAAAATTAGCTTAAGAAAAATAAAACACACTTACGCAAAATTTAAAATGCAAACAAATGAAAATTAGTTTGAGCCACTCAAAATTCGCTCAAGCAATTTTATTTTATTTTTTCTATTTTTCTTTGTTTTCATTCTTGTTTTTGTTTTTATTATTATATTTATTTTATTCTTATTATTTATATTTATTATTTTATTATGTATATATATTAATTTAAATTTTTGTTTATATAGAACTGTACAAAATTAAGTGTTCACACTGTTTGGAACATTAATGCATGTGTACAACCCACCTTTGACTGTAGAAGTAAAACAATAGATTGAACAAGTATTTGAGATTTGTGAAATTTCACAGGTACACAAAAAGGAGTTGGAAGTAGGAAATTTTTCACAAAGTGAAATTCCACCTGGTGTTGTAGATCAGTGTGCAATGATTAACGGCTTAGAAGTATCCAAGTCTTTCATTGTAAATTGGGATATACATATTTGAAGCAAGTAAATCTATGCTTGAAATGTAGCTATCCTTTGTTACATAAGATGATGCTTCTACAATTCCCTAAAAAATCTTGTCAAACTTGATGTAAATTTCATTTGATTGTTGATGAGTTACATCATCAACTGCAAAGACATGAATCTGCTTATCTAACCCCAACTCCATCCTACAAATTTTCTTATTCTCCTTTGTTGCATAAGCCTTCTGACTTCAGCTACTTCGTTCCATAAACCTTTTCTGGCATAGATATGTGCTAGTGTTAAATATGGTGCTGCATTACACGGTTCCATCTTAATGAGCTGATCAGCAGCCTCCCTCCCAAGTTCTATATCTCCATAAATCTTACAAGAACTCAAGAAGGAACTCCATATAACATAATTCGGATCATAGGGCATTTCTTCCATTAGATCCCTTGCCTTTCTTAGATTTCCATTTCTAGCATAAAGATCAATCAAGCAAGCATATTGATCTATATCAGGAGACAAGCCATAACTTGTTCTCATTTTATTAAAGTATTCCACTCCTTTGTCAAGAAATCCTGCATGATTACAAGCTGTTAAGACAGCAGTAAAGCAGATATTATCAGGACTAAACTCTTTCTTGGTCAATAAACAATCAAAAAGTTCCAAAGCTTCTGAACCTCTCCCACATTGTGCATAGCCCATGATCATGGATGTCCACAACACATTATTCTTCCTAGAAGTCTGATCTAACACACATCGGGCCTCATCAATATCGCCACCCTTTGAATACATATCAATCAAAGCACTGGCCACAAACACGTTCCTTTCAGAACCCATTTTAATAACAACAGAGTGTATTTGTCTTCCTTGGAAGAGCAATGCAAGGATGCTGCAAGCATTTAACACAGTACATAAAGTATGATCAGTAGGACTCAGATTCTTTTTCCTCATTTCTACAAATAGTTTCAGTGCATCTTCACTGTACAAATTTTGAGAATATCCAGAGATCATAGAATTGTATACAACAGTATCCTTCTCACTAGTTTCATCAAATAATAATACAGAATCATTAATTTGTTCCCAATTCGCATAACAATCAACTAATGAGCTGACCACAAAATTGTTAGCATCAAATCCCCTTTTGATGACATGACCATGAAGACTTGAACAATTTTTAAGGGTCCCATTATGCCCCACACAGGAACTAATGACACTAGCAAAGGTAAAACAATTAGGCTTAATTGGGGTGCATAACATCTCTTTGAATAACAAGAAGGCATCTCTTCCTTGTCCATTCATTGAGAATCCGGCAATAAGTGAAGTCCATGACACCTGATCATGTACTTTCATGCCACTAAATACCTTCTTTGCATCCACAATAGCGAAACATTTTGCATAGAAATCAACAAGTGCACTACTAAGGAACAAATTATCTTCATATCCAGATCGAATCATATAAGCATGTATTTGAATACCCAAATGCCAATTCATGGTTTTTGCACTAGAACTAAGTGCAGTACAAAGAAAAAACTTAGTTGGCTTCCCCATTAATGTATTCATACTGCTTACGGACTCCAGTGCTGTGCAGGTACTTGCATTTTTAGAATGCTTCCTAAGGTAATCGACTACACATGTTTTGCCAAAGAATTTCTGCATCAAAGCATCAGCAAAGTAACGTTTAGGAAATGCACCATACCACATTGTGTAAACCTCAATCGTGTGCTGAATGTTAATAAACAAATGTCTCGCAGGGATTTTGTAACACTAACATTGAATTCTAACAACTAAAGTCTGGGCACATGAGATCATTGGCAAGCAAAATGATCTCAAAATCCAGAAAACCAACCAATCGCCTTGATGTCTACACATTTGAGCAACTATATCTGAAAAACAGTAGAGCTATCAAATCGCCAGACCAGCTCAGACACGTCCTAACCCTGACCCATATGGGTTAGAGGGAAAAAAACCCACTAATCAATTTGCCTTTCAACAATAGGATCTAAATAATAAATTTTATATTATGATTCTGATTGTTCAGTTTTTAATATATGTATTTTTATTATCATACTTTTTTCTTCTTTGGTATGTAGTTTCATCATTATTAGCACTTTTACTTTCAAATTCTTAAATTATTAATTTATTTAAATATATATATATATATATATATATATATATATATGAAGATTTTTTAAATTTTTATTTTAATTTTTTCGTTTCAAATCTCAACGGCATATATTTTTAAATTATTTTTTCCTAAACTGTTAATATATATATATATAGGGGCGCACACACTTTTCTTTTGAATTTTAACTCAATGAGAAACTCGAGGTTTTGGCGGAAAATTATCTGGTTAACCCTCCTTTCAACCACAACTACGAAATCCTAATATTGCCCGACCTCCTTTATTCCATTGATTCTTTCCAAACAGAATCCAATATCTCTAACCTAGAGTAATAATTTTTTTTCTTTACAGGATATAACATTTATTGGAATTTTCATTAATTCAAACTCTGAATGGAAGAGAGAATTCAAAAACTAAATTTGAAGACAGAACGATTTGAAGTTAGAAGACGAGATTGGCGACGCAAAATATAGTATACTAAATCTTATTTACAGTTCCTCAAACAAAAAAATAAAAAATAAAAAATAAAAAATCTTTCTGAGGTCCTCTTTAGGAGTATAAAGCTACTTCTAAGGTGAAAACCCTAATGAGGGAGAAGTTTAACAAGATCGAAAAAGACATGAAAATGAACAGAAAACAATGAAAATGAGGAATGCAAAGCAGCGAGAAAGGAATTGGAAAAGAAATGGCGCACCTGACAGCGGGTGAAAAGCGGTTTTGGGACTGTCCCCTTATCTATTACTTGGATACCACGTCAATCCACAAGCCTTCTATTTGCAAGTGTCCTAGAAAAGAAGAAGAAGTGACTTCAAATGGATGGTAAAGGAAAAATAATAATAAAGGTTGATTTTTAATTTAAATTTTTTTAAGTAGTTATTGTCCGATAAACTTTTTCTTTTTAAAAATTAACTCCAAATAAAATAAAAAATAATTGTTAGACACTATTTTTTTTATTATTATAATTTTTTTTTACTTATACTTAAACAAAATTTTAAATTTAATTCTCGTTGTTACCGTTAACAATTATATTTATTAACACTTATATTATATTACTATGAAAAATAATATGTTAGAATTTTTTTTACGTATTTCAATAACATTATTATCAGAAAAAGATTAAAAATAGTTATTATCAACTAAAGATATCTTTTGTATAAAAATAGTTATATTACTATAATTTATAGTTTTTCTTGTATTATTTTAATATTATTTTTTTTGTTTATTTCATAATTTTATTCTTTAAAAATAAAAATGTATATAATATTTTAAATTACTTTATTAAGATAATTTTAATAATTATAATATATAGAAGCATTTCAAGTAAGAAAAATTTATTATTATAAAAGGTGAAAGATATTAATAATGACCATTAAATTAAAATAAAGAGTTTAAATTTAATGTTGTTATTCTACTATTTATTTTCTTTTGTTTCTTGTCAATCGCCGTTATTAATCACTCTCACCTCTCACTTGAAATGCTTCCATGATATATTATTTTATGATATAAATTTATAGTAAGTCATCCTCTAAGCTATTACATAAACAAAAAATAATCATACCAAATTTCTTATTAAAAGGAGTCCTCATAGCTACAAACAAAATAATAATAACTAGAAAAATATTGTAGGTATTTAGAAGGAAGCTACTTTCATAATCTAGAATAATAGTGTTTGATATTTTTTTTTGTCTCTTTAATTTACATTATAAACAATTTTAATTTCTTAAACTTTTTTAACTGATTAAATCTTATTTTTACAATTAAACAAATTTAATTTTTCTATTAATTTTTAACTTAAATCCCTCAATTTTTTTACTATTAAAATATTCAAGATTTATGGTAAACTTGAAGTACGCTACAAGTTTATTTCAATTAAAGATGATATTTTGATAGATGGTATTTAAAACATAAAAAAGTATAGTACAATTTATTTAATTCATTTTGTAAAGATTTTGAGTATAAAAATGATAATTTAAAGCTTTCAAGTGGAAAAATTGACAAAGAAACTAAATTTACTTAATTTAATAATAAAACTTGATTGACTAAAAATAATTTAAACCAGAAAAAGCACATATAATTGTATAATCACATTTTACAAAGGAAAAATCGAAGTTTTATCATTCCACGCAGACGGATTGCTGAATCTTATCAACTCCAGACGGTTTCATAGTTATTCAAAGTACAATTGACAGCATTACAAAATATCTTACTTTATAATAGTTAACTAGAAAAAATTAATTGGATATTACACAAATTATATACAGGGTGAAGTATTGTATCCAAGCGTTAGCAAAAAAACTAAAGCCTTTTCTCATCACCAGGTAGGCAATTATCCTCATGATTGCTTGTTCCTTCAAGCCACTCCTCCAGCTCAGCTTGTTTGCTAGCTTTGAAGTCATCATATTTTTCTGATACTGACAATAACTTATTCCCCATATCACTAGTATCACTTAGTTCAGGTTGAGATTCATCTTCAACTTGGCTTGACTGTGGCTGTTGTTTGTCCTCTTCCATTCCCTGTGAAGATGCAGCAGTGTTTGCTGATGGGTCCGACGGCGGCGCATTACGGTATGGCTGTGGCATCTCACTCTTGGAATTTACTGATACCGCAGAATCAAGGTTTGGCGACTTGGAATTGTTGGTCTTCTGCTTTGAGAACTTAAAAACACTAGAAAAATAGTTACTCATTTTTTCACTACCCTCCTGGGCATATACTGCTGAGTTGCCCCATGATCTACTTCTCTCAGTCTGAAAATTTGATGCCGACCGATGAATTAGCCCTCTTTTCGGTTGCTTTGATGTCATAGTTACCAAGGATTTTTTTATGTCTCCAATCATCTCATCAGCTATGGGAAATCCACACTCATTCATTGATCTCACTACTGTGACAGAGTCCTCCAAATCTTGTGTGTGCAATGTTGTTTCATGAGACTTCTCAATAACATCGTTCTTTAGTTCGATGATATTCGGCACTGCATTTTGAGTGTGCTGTTGGATAAAGAAAAGACCAACAGACGGTTCATTAGCCAGGTATTTAATCATCTCTGCCAGACAGTCACTTATCTCCACAAAACCATCAACAGTGGAGAATCCATGCATCTTCCCAATGACAAGTATTGTTCATCCCTGACAACGTTTATGAAAGAAACAAAGTCAGATAAATTATAGCAGAGGAAATTAAGTAGGGCAAAATGTTCAATCAGCATTTGCTAATGTAATAGGAGGCTAATTTACGTAACCACTAAATTGATGCATTTCATTCTAAGTCTGTCCTAAATCCTAGAGTGTAGCCTTTAGTAGATTACCAACTTCAATAAAATGGATCCCATCGAATTTGTCTGCAGTACTTCTGATATGCAGCATCAGACAGAACATGTGTAATATCTTTTTTAGATGATATGTTAATCTTTGCACTTTTCCCTTTCATCAATGGTTGGCATGGAAATTAAAGTTTTAAACATTTTGGTTAAATAATGCAATAGTAGGATTGGATAATTGCTCTTGTATAGAGGATTGGAGAACCCCTTGTGCTCCCTTTCAATAATACTTCTTTGCTGATAAAAATAACTGCAATAGAGGATCTGAGACCAAGGTTATAGGTTGTAGCTGACATCGCATTGCTATTGTTGATATGTAGATTCAGTAATTAGGAGCTTAATATCATAATTATGTTTAATACAGTGATTAAGAACATAATATCAAGATTACATTTATTATCAAAATATTTTATAATTAATATAGATCCTTGTCCACTTGTATAATTTAGACTTGTGGGTCAAATGCAATAAACAAGAGACAACAATATTCAAACACTTCTTCTAACATCCATTGCTACCTTGTTTTTGCAGACGTCAGGTTCTTTGAGAGTCATCCCTTCTTCTCCCCTCTTTTTGTTCTGTTGACCACTTGGAGTTTTTTTTTTTTTTTTCTCTTTTCCTCAATCTGTTCCAGCTCCCATTCTCTCTCCTCCTCCTCCTCTTCTATCCTACCATAGGAGGAATAGCACAAATTCTAAGTTACAACAATTGAAGCTTAATCCTCCAAATTCATCTACTACTTCAACCGTTTCTATGTTTCTATCTCCTGAACAACTCCTTGCTTTGCGTAAAGATGTCCTCTCATAATCCTAATCCTAATCCTAATCCTATTTATGTTTGTCACTTGAATTATAATTGCATATCTCTTTCCTGTTCTGCTTTTGTTTCCTCTTTGGATTCTATGTCTATACCTCAGAATACAAATGGGTCTTGTCTGATCCAGGATGGAGACAAGTAATTGGGGATAAAACTGTTGCCTTACATTCTAATGGCACTTGAGATTTAGTTTCCCTCCCTCCAGGTAAGACTACTGTTGGATGCCGGTGGATATATGTCAACATTGGACATGATGGAGAGGTAGATCGCTTAAAAGCAAGATTAGTGGCCAAGAGCAACACTCACATATTTGGTCTTGACTATGGAAATACTTTCTCTTCCATGGCATGATTGCTTTTGTTAGTCTCTTTTTAGCTCTTGCTTCCATTCATCAATGACTCCTTCATCAATTAAATATCAAGAATACTTTTCTTCACGAAGAGTTACAAGAAGTTTATATGGATCAGCTTCTTGGCTTCACTACACACGAAGCATCTACTTCAGCAATCTCCACGTGCTTGGTTCAACTACTTTAGTCCATGTCTTACAACAATATGACAGACTTGCTATGAGGCAGATCATTCTATCTTCTTCCTTCACTCATCATCCTATACCATATCTACTTAGTAATATATGTAGGTGACATTGTCATTTCTAACAATGATAGTGTGGACATTCAGAAACTCAAACAACACTTATTCCATTATTTTCAAACATAGAATTTAGGTTCTCTTAAATATTTCTTGGAAATTGAAGTTGCCTAATCCAACCATGGGATTTCCGTTAATCAACGCAAATATGTACTTGATATTTTCACTTTGAGTGCAGTTAGTCAGCTTTCAAATACTCCTTGTGAATTATCATTAGAGTGTAGTTGTCTGCATTCTCAGATACATGAAAAGTGCACCAGACAAAGGATTACTTTACCAAAACAAGGGAAATGCTGCAATTGTAGGCTACTCTGATGCTGATTAGGATGAATCACCACTAGATAAAAGATCTTCGTTTGGATAATATATTTTGAAGGAGGGAACTTAATCTCATGACGGAGCAAGAAAGGAATGCACTATTGCCAAATCCAATGTAGAGGCAGAATATCGTGCTGTGGCTGTGGTTACATGTGAACTTGTTTGGTTGAAACAATAACTCCTACAACTTAAAATAAAAGACGTTGATAAGATGAAGTTGATTTGAGATAATCAGGCTACACTACATATAGCATCTAATCTAATTTTTCATAAACAAACCAAACACATAGATTAATTGTCATTTGATTAGAGAAAAAAGGTTCTCTCAAGAGAAATTGCAACAAGTTTTGTTAGCTCCAATGACCAGTTGGTTAATTTGTTCACCAACACATGGGTGAAATATATTTGTAACAAGCTTGATGCATATAATATATATGCTCTACCTTCACGGGAGTGTTGATATCTAAATATAGTAATTAGGAACATAATATCAGGATTACGTTTAATACTGTAATTAGGAATGTAATATCAGGATTACATTTATTAGGAAATATTCTGTAATTAATATAGATCCTTATACATTTGTATAAATTCAGACTTTTGGGTCAAAGACAATAGACAACAATATTCAAAAACCTCTTCTCTTTTCTATATCTATAATAGAAATTGAAGACAATTGCAGGATATGTGACTTTACAGTGGTTGCAAATACATCCAAAATCA